GCCTGGGGGCCCGGCGATCCTCCGAAGTGGACTCGTATCTTCTGCCCGCAAAGGGTTAAGGTGATGTGAAACACGTCGAGGAACTTGGTCGACGTCGATAAAGAAGATTTCCCTAAAATATGTCTTTCTTTTAAGAAGAGAACTAGAAAGAAATATTTTGTTGGATCGGTGAACGTTTTCTCAGGTGAGGAATTGAAAGGCCGTTTGTCGCCATTAACATTTAGAATCGCCGGTACGTGAATTATGGATAGACTGATGTGGATGGGTAACACGTGACGGAGCATAACGGAAGAAATCCGTTCTCGTTGATGAATCGAGCCGGGAAAGTATCTCGACTCGACAGAGGAAGTGACAAATGGACGACGAAGCACCCGCTCGGATTCTGCCGGATCGTTTCGTAAGCCGCTACTTAAAGGTGGAAGCCCGAGGAAATGAAGTTCTCAGGAGGATGCGAGCATCTCGAACGAGTCCCGCACATCGGGCCGAAGCATCTTGACGTCTCTCGTTAACCATTCACTCCGTGGTCATTTTGATTGACAGCGCACATCAAATAGTCGCGCCAGGCACGCGACTATCTGTGTACCTATTAATCAACTCCGACGAGGCGTTGCTGAAGACACACGAAAGATTCAGGACAATCCGAGTGGGCGTTTTTCATTTTTTTTTAATTAAACCTTAAATAAAGTCGATTATTTTTTCAATTAAACCATAAATAAAATCGATAGTCGCGCCAGGCACGTGACTATCTGTGTATAGTGGCGGACATGAATGCCTCCCCTGCAGATACGGCATCGCCTGTGCAGGATGGGAGGGCATTGATGTCTCCCAGTGTACAATGGCGGACATAAATGCCTCCCCTGCAGATACGGCATCGCCTGTGCAGGATGGGAGGGCATTGATGTCTCCCAGTGTACCTATGAATCAACTCCGACGAGGCGTTGCTGAAGACACACGAAAGATTCAGGACAATCGGAATAGGCGTTTTTTATTTTTAAAAAATTAAACCTTAAATAAAATCGAATATTTTTCAATTAAACCATAAATAAAATTGATTGTCGCACCAGGTACGTGACTATCTGTGTACCTATGAATTAATTCCGACGAATCGTTGCTGAAGACACACGAAAGATTCAGGACAATCCGAGTGGGCATTTTTTATATTTTTATAAATTTAATATCACACATATTTGCCCATAATTATGAAAGTGGTCTAAGTCAAAATAAAAAAAAAATGAGTTTATCAGTTATTTCACGCCATATTATTTCAAACGAAATTAATTCAATGTAATTTCGAAACAAAAAATATATGACTTAGACCACTTTCATAATTATGGGCACATATAATATATCTAAAAAAAAAATCAAAATGAAACTTTTCTAAAAACGAGATGCACCGAATAAATTTAAGCTTTAATCACGCGATGAAGGTCTGAAAGTTCTATAGATATCATTTTCTGCAAAAATTAAGATCTTTCGGTCATGTCGGAGAAGAATCGAGAGAACAGTTTTTCCGAATAATGAAATTTTGCGATTTTAACCACCATCGTTAGGGTAAAGTTTCAAGTAATTGTTAATGTTAACTTTCGCGCAATGAACGTTTAACGTTCGAAATGAAATTTGGTAAGATTCGGGACCGACGCGAAGGACGATATTCAAGGAATGAGATTTCATAGTACCAAGAATACAGGGATAACAATCTGGAATCTTTTTCGGGATAATAGATCCCTCAGAACTCCGTCCGTGATTTATTCCCAATGAAAGAGTATAAAAAGTGGGGTGCTCGGATCCATTCGGGCCGGGAATAAAGACGGCAAGGTGGAAGCAGAACGACGCCATATTTTAGCCGGGCAGTCGTAAACAAGCGGGATTCGCAAAGGCGAGGGCAGAATTCAGGGAAAAATCCAACGAAATTTGCCACGGTGTTTCTCGCATAACCGGATCTCATATAAATCGACCTTTCGAGTCGGTCTGGCCGATTAGCGAGCGCTAATTTGCTGATCAAGAGCGATCGTTCGTGCCCCTCGAAGGAGCCTAACCTCGAAAAGCCGCGCCCAGAGTCGACTAATATATTTTCAGCTTAATCCCACAGAGAAATAATAAAACCCCGCAAATCCGAATCGTACGAGAGACCTTCCCTCCGAAAGATAAACACCCTGAAAGAAGAACTTAATTAAATGAACTATTGATCCACTGACTTTCACAGTTCGAAAAAGAATACATACATATATATAATGGAACTTTCCGCGATAACTATATTTTTAACAAGGTCTAATTATTCAGTCTGCCAGATTGTCTTTTCTCTCGGTGCAAGAAATGACTCTCGAAAGTTGAAAATAACTAGCGTCGAATACTTCTTCCCTCGCTAAGCAAGATGGCGGCGCGTGGAGGCCGAGGCGTTTAGGATATCGTTTGGACGATTATTAAAAAGCAGAGCTTAGTCCACGCGTGTATCGTAGACGCAGTATGTGTACGGATTTACGGCGCGCCTCTTTTTGCGCCCGTAAAATGAATTATATACGGGGAATATATGTAATTCATCCATATATAATTGTTTCCACCCGGGGCAAGATGGCGGCTCTTCGCAGAGCGGCCGCGATGAATATGAAAATCGACTGATTATACGCTGAGGAATAATTAGCATGAGAATTGCTCGACGCCGGGCGTCGTACGCGACGGTAGGAGTTACTGGGTGTGCATTTTTATCCAAAATCGAACGACGGGCTTTCCACACGCATAATCGGGAATTAATTGCATAACCACGGCGCATGCAAATTCCCAACTTATGCAAGGATCCGGCTCTTCGTTCGCCGTCGCGACATCCGAATCCATTACCGTTTTCGGCCTGTCTGCCATGCGAATCGAGGGGGAAAAAAAAAACTAGTCCTGCACGACTAATCCGGAAAATCGCTGAAAGCCTTTCTAATATGCGCAGAAATTTCAAATGCACATTCACTTGGGTTTACGTAGAAATTAAATCCCACTTTGGGGTACCACGGTTTAAGGTGAAGTGAAACACCCTTCAAATCAGTCGATTCGAATGTAACACTTTTTTTTAAGGGAATTAGACCAAACTGTCCGAAACTTTGACACGTCAAAATAAATTTTTAATTCAAACCAGACCAGAACCAAAATGGCGTCGAGTTCTCATATTTCGATCGATATACAATTATCGAAGGCTCTGATATGAGAATCGAAAGGGTCAGGACAATTTTACGACAATTTAGAACACTCTGGTAATCGATAAACTCGCATTTGAACGGGATAAAGGCAAAAAAAAGTGTTGTATGCGCTTCTATGCCAAAACGATGGGAATACGAGGTCTCGGAGTGAAGATTTAATTGACCTGGAAATCAAAGATGGCGCAGGGGGTCCATGCCATTTGGAACAATACCTAATATAATTCGACACAGCTGTCAATATAAAAACCAACGTCAGCAACGTAGGCATTTAGAAAAATCTCCTTTATCGACGTCTATCAAGTTCCTCGACATGTTTCACTTCACCTTAATTCGAAGGTTCCCGTTTTATGGGGAATAGACGTCGAGTGTGCGCTTTGTGAAAAATTTCATTAATTTTGCACAAATAAACTGGAATAAATTGAATGCAACGATTCTTCGGAGTTATGACAATTGGCCGGATGATTGGATAAAATATCTCTTCGATTTAATAAATTTCTTATATCAGTTCGAGAAGTGGTATCGGGATAGCCAGTTTTCTAGACGGACCCGCCACCTGTGAGCCGCTCCTAGAAACATCGAGCCGGTACTTTTAACGCCATGGTAATTCCCCGTTTCTTTTTCACCCGGCGATAAAGTACCATCGGCTCCCTAGCAATAATTCAATCGATCATCCATATTTTGACATTGTTGCTGAAGGAAAAATCTGCACGCTGATTAACCACCTGTTTTTATTCCCACCTCCGTTTCTCCGGGAAAAGAAACGTAACCTGTACACCTATGACGCGGAGTATTCAATTGGCAATTAACGTGGGCAAATTGGAAATTCATTCGATTCAGAGAATCTCTCTTATGGATTGCCTCACAGACCCGATTACGAGGAAGCGATTATTTCATCCAGTGGTTTATTCACTCCTCGCAGTGCCGTTCGTGTAATTTACATTTTAAGTCATTTCTGCGGCTTTAAATACCTTCTTTGGTAACCTACGTCCCATGGCTCGCTCTTTGTCCCAGGAAACGCAGAATTTAGTAATAATTCCCTGTTACTCGGAAATCGTTGCGTTCAATTTATCCGAGGTGGAGAATAATTATATGAATAATTATTCTTGTATAAGAATAAAGGAAATATTTACCCGGTTCGATGAAAAATTATATTTTCTCAATCGCAGGAACGACAATACAGGAATTAAGGTGAAGTGAAACACGTCGAGGAACTTGGTCGACTTCGATGAAGATTTTTCTAAATGCCTACGTTGCCGACGTTGGTTTTTATATCGACAGCTTGGTCGAATTATATTGGGTATTGTACCAAATGGCATACTCCACCTGTCGTTTTCGTACAATAATTATAAAGAAATCGAAGTAAAACTCCAGAAATCCTCTGGATTCATGCTTTCTGGGGCCCTAATTGACTGCGGAGGGACCCCCTGCGCCATCTGTGATTTCCAGGTCAATTAAATTTTCACGCCAAGACCTCGTATTCCCATCGTCTTAGCATAGAAGCGCATACAACACTTTTTTTGCCTTTATCCCGTTCAAATGCGAGTTTATCGATTACCAGAGTGTTCTAAATTGTCGTAAAATTGTCCTTACCCTTTCGATTCTCATTTCAGAGCCTTCGGTAATTATATATCGATCGAAATATGAGAACTCGACGCCATTTTGATTCTGTTCTGGGCTGTTAACAAATTTTTTCCAAAAATCCAAACTTTCATTGTGTCAGGACAATTCTTAGATGATCAGGAGTGACGTGTCAAAGTTTCGGACAGTTTGATCTAATTCCGTTAAAAAAAAAGTGTTGTATTCGTATCGACTGATCTGAAAGGTGTTTCACTTCACCTTAAAACGCCGTCATCCTCGGTGGGATTTCTGGGAGGAAAATCTCTTCCTCGCTGAAATTAGCCGGCTATCTTTTACGAGGTTTCTCAGGCGCAATTACAGGTGAGTTGCACCTGCTCAACGGTTGCGGAGACGGGAATCTATTTTCCCGGCGGATCGGCTCTATTACCGGCGCGATGGATGACTTGACCCCGGCAAATCGACGCCAGGGATAGGAAACCTCACCAACGAACCTACCAGAGATTAATTCGTTAAAGCAATCGAGAATAGCCTGAGAAAGTGCACCTTGCGATTCTAAATCCTGTCCACGATCTGTCGGATGTATTCCCGATGAGAATAGACCTTCGTGTAGACATCGGGAACACCAAGGGCACAATTTCTACCCCAGGACACTATCCCCACGACGGTGTCTCCATACACCAAGGGACCCCCACTGTCGCCCTAAAATGAAGAATAAAAAATTCAACTCCTAATGTACATATTTACACGCAGAAAAATAATATTCTAATCATTACATATGCTCGCGGGTCAAAGTATCGTTGTTACCTTAACAACAATTATTGTAAATGTAACTACAATTTCTTGTCCTTTTATGTTTCTTGTGCAATATCACTTATTTTGTTAAAAAATACATTGGAAATTTACAGTATATACTGTGCAACCTAATGTACATATTTACACGCAGAAAAATAATATTCTAATCATTACATATGCTCGCGGGTCAAAGTATCGTTGTTACCTTAACAACAATTATTGTAGATGTAATTACAATTTTTTGTCCTTTTATGTTTCTTGTGCAATATCACTTATTTTGTTAAAAAATACATTAGAAATTTACAGTATATACTGTGCAACCTAATGTACATATTTACACGCAGAAAAATAATATTCTAATCATTACACATGCTCGCAGGGCAAAGTATCGTTGTTACCTTAAAAACAATTATTGTAGATGTAACTACAATTTCTTGTCCTTTTATGTTTCTTGTGCAATATCACTTATTTTGTTAGAAAATATATTGGAAATTTAAAGTATATACTTTGCAATAAACGGTCTATATAAATTTATGATAAAACGATGACCTTTCCTATGTGCAATTACGTTTTGAAACGGAGAACTGAATTTTTCTCTTTTTTTTTATCACATATACCTTTGTTATTTATGTCATTTTCAATGAATATAGAAAAATTAGCGTCACTGTTTTATTCTCTGTTTTATCCTTAATACCCTACTTTTTGAATTATGTAAATATTACTTTTCGTTTGGTTTTTATCAGCCTTTTTCCAAATCCTAGTAAAATCCTAAAATTCGGCCGGTTATCTTCGCATGTAGTAATTATAACTACCTTTTTCTCTCCGTGTACATATCCCTAGGTAAATAGATGTGAGCATGTGTAATGTATAGTATGAGGACAGATGGAAAAAAATTCCCTACATGGAATTGTCGGTAAAACTTACGTTGCAGGTACCTACACCGTATTTCTGCATCGCGCAGATCTGGGAGGTTATAATGCCGGGGTGATGTCGGCTGCACTCCGATTGCTGGATAAACGTCACGTTGGATTTTTGCAGAATTGTTGGGAAAGAATTGCCAGGGTAGACGGTGAGACCCCAGCCACTGACCACACCTGTCTCACCCCAGGGAACATCTTCATCTGGCAGTGAAATGGGCGATTGTTCGGTCGTTACTTCTATTTCTTTGGCCAGCTGGAATTAAATGGGGATTAAGGTCTTATGAAAGGGTCATTCTACATGTATGAAAATATTTATTAATTGAATGTTATGTCATTTATTCATTTAATTGAATTGACAGTTTTTCCCAAACCGGGTGCGCCGAATAATTAAGAAACTCGTTAGAGTTTCGCGACAAAAAAAAAATATATAAAAATATATATATAAAGAAAATTCAATACGTGATCATGGATGTCCTGGCGAAGGTCTTGAAACTCGGGAAATTTTATTATATGAATTAAAATCACACTTTTTCCCAAACCGGGTGCGCTGAATAATTTTAAAATTCAATACGTGATTATGGAGGTCCTGACGAAGCTCTTGAAACTCGTGAAATTTCATTGTTTCAAATAAAATGTTGTATTTATCCTGGACCAGAAGCAAGAAGATTTTTTTTACGGTGCATCCAGATAAATTTTATACATATTTTTATAGAATGACGCTTTCATAACGCCTTAAGGTGAAGTGAAACACGTCGAGGAACTTGATTGACGTCGATAAAAAAGATTTTTCTAAATGCCTACGTTGTCGACGTTCGTTTTTATGTTGACAGCTGGGTCGAATTATATTCGGTATTGTACCAAATGGCATACTCGACATGTCGTTTTCGTACAAATCTTTTTTTCTAAATCCAAATTTTGAATGTGTCAGGACAATTCTTAGATGATCAGGAGTGACGTGTCAATGTTTCGGACAGTTGGTCTAATACCCTTAAAAAAAAGTGTTGTATTCGAATCGACTGATTTGAAGGAGGTTTCACTTCACCTTAAATTTTCATTCCGAGACCTCGTATTCCCGTCGTTTTGACATAGAAGCACATGCAACACTTTTTTTGCCATTATCCCGTTCAAATGCGAATTTATCGATTACCAGAGTGTTCTAAATTGTCGTAAAATTGTCCTGACCCTTTCGATTCTCATATCAGAGCCTTCGATAATTGTATATTGATCGAAATATGAGAGCTCGACGCCATTTTGGTTCTGGCCTGGGCTGAGTTAAAAAATTGTTTTGAAAAATCCAAATTTTGAATGCGTCAGGACAATTCTTAGATGATCAGGAGTGATATGTCAAAGTTTCGGACAGTTGGTCTAATACCCTTAAAAAAAAGTGTTGTATTCGAATCGACTGATTTGAAGGGGGTTTCACTTCACCTTAACGTACTCACCGTCAAGACAGCCACGTCGTTGCGCCACATGTTGGAAGGCCCTCCGGCGTAGTCTTTATGGTACGAGTACTTACCGACCGCATGAGTCGTCCCACCACGGGCCAGACTGTTAGTTCCTACGACCAGGAATGAACGTATTGCATTAGCGATCTCTTTCCCTTTTTCCTTTTCTACCGACCCCAGCCCATCTTCCCTATAATTCTCCAACATGCGCCCACGAGTTCGCGCGTAGAGATTCCCTTTAAAAAATACCTGTCACCACTGTCAACCCCGTCAAGTCAGACCCGGTTGACAGGAAGTCGATGATGCAGTGCGCAGCCGTTAATACGTGTCTTGTCGTGATGATCGATCCCCCACAAAAATGTCCGCCTTTCAGTCTAAGAGATGCTTGGTAAGGAAATTCACCGATATCGGCACTGATCCCTCCGATGAGACGCGTTGGCGGTCCCCTTGATGTCCCTGTTTATAAAAAAGTAATTAAGGTGAAGTGAAACACCTCGAGGAAGTTGATACACGTCGATAAAGGAGATTTTTCTAAATGCCTACGTTGCCGACGTTGGTTTTTATATCGACAGCTGTGTCGAATTATATTGGGTATTGTACCAAATGGCATACTCCACCTGTCGTTTTCCTACAATAATTATAAAGAAATCGAAGTAAAACACCACAAATCCTCTGGATTCATGGTTTCTGAGGCCCTAATTGACTGCAGAGGGACCCCCTGCGCCATCTGTGATTTCCAGGTCAATTAAATTTTCACTCCGAGACCTCGTATTCCCATCGTTTTGGCATAGAAGCGCATACAACACTTTTTTTGTCTTTATCCCATTCAAATGCGAGTTTATCGATTACCAGAGTGTTCTAAATTGTCGTAAAATTGTCCTGGCCCTTTAGTTTCTCATATCAGAGCCTTCGATAATTGTATATTGATCGAAATATGAGAGCTCGACGCCATTTTGATTCTGGTCTGGGCTAAGTTAATATTAGGTTGTCCCATAAGTTTCTTCCCTTTTTTTCATAGGACATGAATACACGATGCGGAAGGAACTTATGGGACACCCTAATACATTTTTTTCAAAAATCCAAATTTTGAATGTGTCAGAACAATTCTTAGATGATCAGGAGTGATGTGTCAACGTTTCGGACAGTTTGGTCTAATACTCTTAACACTATTTCTACCGCGATTTTGTGTATACCTATTTCGACCAAAAGGTTTTGATGAGCTGGAGGAAAATGATACCGGTAAATAAATTTAACAATTATTATACGAAAACTCAAAACATTATTAAACTTTGAAAATAATTTCAAGTTAAAATTTTAAACGGTGTCTTTACACCTTTGGTAGAATAGTGTATTCGAATCGACTGATTTGAAGGGGGTTTCACTTCACCTTAAGGCTGGCGCGTTTTTTATCAGCGAGGCTTTCGAACAATTTAAATGAATTCACGTACACGCCCGCGCGTCCATTTCTAATTAATATTCCGCAATTTGGAGCAGGTGTAACGAGGTGCATTAATGCATCGCTTGGCGACACTCACCCTCGGCTGCAACTGCAAGTGCAAGTGCAAGACACGTTGACGATGTAATTGAGAAAATCTTGTTAGTCTGTCGAGACATGTCGTTGCCGAAAATCGTCGTTGCGACGATTCAATTGAGAGCGCATTTTCTCGGTCATTTATACCGATTGCTTATCAGCACCCGGTAAATAACATCGGACCGATATCGATATACTCGTTGGTAGACCCTTACACGAGTAATCGATACCGGAATTAGTGTAGATCCAAGTCGGGATAAGGGGACTGAAATTAAAACCACGCGGACCAAGATGAGCACCTTATCCTTGGGATCTTCATCGACGAGCATTACCAAGTGCTGGATAAGATACCGAGAGAGATTCTCACCTGAGATCTTTCCAAACGAGGGTCGGATCTCGGGTGAGCCTGTCGCTAAGTCATATCTTGGGAGAAAAATGTGCAATCGCCATGGCTCCATCAACTTTGATAGCATGGCGAGACAAGTATAATTACCGACTCTGTCCTCGCCATTATGAAAATCGGTATTAAGGTGATATGAAAGGGTCATTCTCAATACATATCAAAACATCAGAATGAAACTTTTCTCCAAACTGGGCGCACTAAATAAAATAAAACTAAACCTGTGGTCATACGAGTGAATATTTTTTTTATTTTCTTGAGATACATATACAATTTCATAACTCCTTAAGGGGTTATACCACTTTGAAATTTTCAAAAAATCAAACAAATTTTTACGCGTTTATATTTTAAACGCGTTTTTCTTAAAATTGCATTTTAAAAATCGGTGGCCACTCTAGCTCCGCCAATTTTCAATCAATCGTCTTGATTATTTTTTTATTTTATTCGTGATATGTCTATCTAGCGAAATACGTATGGTTTTTTCAATGTTCAATTGATATTCGCGTTTTTTATGCAACATTAATTAACGAAATTTAGGGCAAAATACGTATCTTTCCTTTCAAATCTATGCCATTTTGTGTAAAATGCATATTTTTGAAAACAGCTACGTATTTCGCTAGCTTTTTACTCTTTACTTTTTATTAAAATAAAACTTTAAACTGTTGTCATATGAGTGAATATTTTTTTAATTTTTTGAGATACATATACAATTTCATAACTCCTTAATGGAATTATCAGTAACACGATGAGACCATTGAGTGCAGCTTTCTTCTTAATAACTCCATCAACTTTGATCGCATGACGAGACAAGTATAATTACCGACTCTGTCCTCGTCATTATGAAAATCGGTATTAAGGTGATATGAAAGGGTCATTCTCAATACATATTAAAACATCAGAATGAAACTTTTCATCAAATGTAAATATAATAAATAAATAAAATGTAATGTAACAAATGTAATAAATAAAATAAAACTTTAAACCTGTGGTCATGTGAGTGAATATTTTTTTTATTTTCTTGAGATACATGTATAATTTCATAACTCCTTAATGAAATTATCAGTAACACGATGAGACCATTGAGTGCAGCTTTCTTCTTAATAGGTCTTGGTATATCAGTTTTTTCGGCCTTTCCCTGGTTTTTTATTCTTCGGTTTCGATTTGGAAATCTTGGAACCACTGGCACCTGATGGTTTACGTCACTTTCTGCACGTTTCTCGCGTTCAGAGAAGTTCTTTGTCTCCGGCAGGAATAATTATCATTCGAAAGCGCAAATCGGGTGGGCGTTTGGTGACGTCACTTGTTCGATGTCCTCGCCATCTTTGGAGCGACCAAGCTCGCGGGTGAACTCGATAGGCCCACTCCTGTCCACTCATCGGGGGCCATTATTAAGCCCGTATTACATGGGTCCTGTGCTTCTCCATCCTCCTTAAGGTGAAGTGAAGTGAAAAATCTTCTTTACCAACATTGATCAAGTTCCTCAACGTGTTTCACTTCACCTTAAGGTGATACGAAAGGGTTATTGTGCTCTCAGTGCTCTTGAAATTTCATTTTTCAGGAAAAATGTGTCCTTCGTTCTACTCTAAAATAAAGAAAAATTTTTTTTGTTGAAAATCAAATTTCACGGGCACCGTCTACGGCATTTTTCATATTGGAAACGTAATTTACTGATTTTCTACGATTTTTTTCTATGGTAAAGTACTTTGTTTACGTAATATACGTAGAAAGCCTCGAAAAATGCGGAATTACCCAACCCTGCTCGCAGGAGTTCTGAGCGCCCTTAATCTAAGTTAGAATAAGAGTCCTTTTCTCAGTCCAGAATTCCCCCTGGGACACGTGCGACCGCGCGTGCGCTCCTCTCGCTCCGACGTGACCCTGAAGACTGGCACACGCGCCCCGACGAGTCGTGACGTCATCAAGGCGGAGCGAAGGGTGGCCGGGGTTGCCGCGTGCTATGCGGGTCAGTAGAGCACAGGCAGCGAACAGGGTTGGGTACGTCGAATATTCCGAGTATTAGACAGTTGTTCCCGAGCACAGTACCAATTTCCACCAACAATTTCCCCGCCCGAGAAATGATGAAAATCCGAGATTCGCCGATAATTTTATCCGAAATTCCCTCTTCTGCGTATCTCCCTTTTCCCCTTCTCCAGCCAATTTTGTAATTCAATTCGCGACTCGTCCCCTTCCCTTTGAATAAATAATTAAACTAGGAACTATTTAAAGTATCCCCTTGTCGAGGAGCGAGGGAAGGTTATGTCGCTTTCTGCTGGATATTTTGAAATCGTTTAAGGAGGACGTGTAGGAGCTTAGATTATTTTTAATCAACATTTTCGTACACTTCCGATGAAATGAGGTTAGCCGGGACCCCGGTGTTTTCTTGTAAACGGGGAGGAGCTCTTCCCGCGTGATTACCCAACCCTGGTCGCGTCGATGCTATCTCGAAAAATCCCAGGGGAGAGAGAGAGACGGACCCAACCCGCCGAGGCGCGAGGGAGAGAGAGGACCGATGACGTCCGGCATGGCGATCATCAAATGTTGCTTCGAGGCCGACGGGCCCGATGTCTTTGAATCCGTCGTCAGAAAGTGTACCGATCCTGGATGTAAGTAGTCTCCCTTTTTGCTGTTCGTCGAATCGGTTAAGAATGAAGAAAATAGAGGGATCGGTTTTCGAAATACCGGTAGGCTAACTTTTATCACGGCCGCTTCTCGTTCCGACCGCTAGGGGCGCTGCGGACTCCAACGATTTTCCGAGTCGTTGCCCCCGTCTAACCCGCGAATCAATCTTTCTCCTTCTAAGTCAATGTTCGCGTTAATCAATAAAATGGGAACATGGGGATCGGGTTGAAATAACATAACCGTATTTACTGCAACTCTGACATTTTACAAACATATTATGACAGTATTAGGACGATGTAAAATTTGCTCTTAGAAATATTTAAGTTCCAGGTCTTAGCTAGAGTGGCTTGTGTAGAGTTTTTACTGCTTTTTATTAACTGAATAATATAACCGACGATTAAATTCTATAGTGATTTTTAAATTCTCGGTTCGGTTATGCTCGAAATTCTCGAAGATTTAATAACGCTGGGCATATCACATTCTACTGTTGGAATGCCGCACAGAAATTCAGATTTATTGATTTTCGAAGTCTTAGAACGGCTTTCTCCCGATGCTTGTGAAGGCGTCGCTTCGGCGTAACTTCATTTAAACGTTGCAACGTGAAAACGACGGTTATTTGTAAATTCATCGGGATATTATTTAATACTTGTAATTTTTGTTCCTTAATTTCAATCCGTTTCAAAGTCACTCTTTGAGAGAAATTGAAAATCAGGTTTCTCGCCTCAAACGGTAGATTTTATCGGAACAATTCACCGAATGGATTAATTTAATGTGAATAAAATCATTGTTAATAAACCGTTGGTGAAAGGATATTCAATATTCTATCCTTTTAAGTTATAGTCCCGGGGTATTTCCAGTTTCATGACCTTTTGCGAGTCATGACACATGATCGACGTTACCTCGAGGTTAATTCAATTTTCGCGGTCTTTTTCGATACTCGATAGGCTGACCTTTCGAGACTATCGATTATCTCGATCTGAAAGCGCTACAGGGTATTTTCGGAAAGAGCTCGGAATTGTCAGAAATACTTCTAGCGAGATGTTCGGTAAAGGCCTTTTATTCTTACTTCAGATTCATTGTTTCGACGCGTCCTCATTGTCGTTCACGGAGTATCTGCTTTGTTTATTACTGAACGGGTTTTGTTCTGTTCTAGGTTGTTGCTGGTGCTGTTCCGCGTTAAGGCCGAGATACAAGAGACTGGTGGACAATATATTCCCTGTCAACCCACAGGTATTGAACATCTTTGCTATGAATATTGATTACTGACACAATTGACAAAGCTGGGAACAGATAACTGACAAGAGTATTGTATGCCTCCCGCAGGATGGATTGGTTAAAAACAATATGGAAAAGCTGACGTTCTACTCGTTGAGCAGCCCCGAGAAGTTGGATCGAATAGGAGAATACTTATTCCAGAGAGCTTCGAGGGATATTTATAGGTACACGAAAGAATGACATTCGCTTCTTTCATTTGCTCGTTGCATGGGACCATCGGATTACTGAAACGAAATAGCAAAGAAACTGCATTGTAAATTAATGGTATTTCGATCTTCTGACAGGCGTCGAAATGGTTTCGTGATCATCGCTATGGAAGCGATGGATCAGCTGCTGGTTGCTTGTCATGCTCAGACGTTGAATCTTTTTGTAGAAAGTTTTTTAAAGATGGTACAGAAGTTATTGGAATCCACGGAACCGCAGCTACAAATTCTGGCAACGCAGTCAGTAAGTATAGTATAGTCTCATATCTCTGTCATTGATTGATTTTGTCTGCATGGTAATTATTGTCGTCTAACTCATCTAAGCAGACTGTAAAACGAGCTTGCATTATTTCGCTACCTAGCACGTCACTTTGATGCAATGTACAGAGTATACAAAGCGTTTAATGCAGTTGAACAAAATGCTTGCTTCTTCCAGTTTGTCAGATTTGCCAACATCGAGGAGGATACGCCGTCTTATCACACACGTTACGATTTCTTTGTATCAAAGTACTCTGCAATGTGCCACTCCAATCACAACGACCTGGCAATCCGCAAGCAGATTCGACTCGCGGGCATACAGGGGTTGCAGGTTGGTAAAATCTAACGTTATCCTTTTATTTGTACAATCCTTATATTTCAATTTACTACAATTGATATGTATTAACTATAATTTTTCATTTCAGGGTGTCGTAAGAAAAACTTTATCCGATGATCTAGTAGAGAATATTTGGGAATCTGTACATATGGACAAAATTGTACCTTCGCTATTGTATAATATGCAGAATGCTAGGTAAGTAAATAAATCCCTAATTGTCTCAAAAGGCAAAATCTGAAGAGTATTCCCATTTTTCTAACAGACACTCGGATAAAGAAAATGCAACACCTGAAAACCCGGTGGAGGAACGGACAGATCCTCCTCAATTTGCAGAAACCTGTATGCGCGAACTCGTCGGTCGAGCATCCTTCGGCCACATTAGATGCGTCATTCGACCAGTACTGAGGTACAGAAATTGTGAAAATTTGACAAAATATTCAGCTACAATTCATTGTGAATCGTACCCAATTAAATGCATTGTTTTGTATTTCAGACACTTAGATAATCATCAACTGTGGGTTCCGAATTATTTTGCTATTCATACATTTAGGATAATTATGTTTTCTATTCAGGTTAGTTACAAATGCATTTTAATCCATCTATGGAAATTATCTCGAGTTTCACACACGCTATTTTCAGTCTCAATATTCCTACACCGTTGTCGAAGCTCTGATGACCCACCTTGACGATCACTCCAAATCCTCTCCAAAGATTCGAACAAGCATCGCCGACACTCTTTCAAAGATCATCTCCATCGCAGCAGGTGAAAGTGTTGGTAAGTGATCATGCATTGGCTATACCGTCTACATACATCATTCCTATAATTAATCTTTCAATTAAATATCCTAGGTCCATCAGTGTTGGAAATCATTAATTCGCTGCTTTCACACCTGAGAATAAGCGTGACGAGAAATCAATCGACCGCCAATGATGAGCAATTGTATCAAGAAGCTCTTATCAACACTTTGGGAGAATTTGCCAACCATCTTCCTGATTACCAGAAAATCGAGATCATGATGTTCATCATGAGTAAAGTCTCGTATAGTCAACCGGATCGCATAGTCTCCGTTGGAAAGGGAGACGTTCTCCTTCAAAGTATTCTTTTAAAGTCGCTCCTTAAGGTACCTCCCTTTCATGGGAATTCTTGAAAAATCGTTAAAACTGACTGAACCGACACTTCATTATTTTATCTGGCAATTTTATTCCTACATCAACATCTAGGTTGGCACGAAATATAAAACCATCCACTTCAACACAACATTCCCACCAAGCTTCTTGGAGCCACTGTTGAGAATGTCGTTAGCCCCTGACGCAGAAGTGAGACTCCTGGTTCAGAAGATCCTTCACACCCTTATCGATCGACATCACAACATTCCCAAACTCTCCAAGCCGACGTAAGTTAATTCATTAATAATTCATTCGTTACATTATCTGAAAATTAAATCAATCGTCACAGCGTAAACGTATCGAACTTGGACGTCATTGTCGGAAAGTCCTCCAGACCAGATGTCATATTCATCCGCAAGCACGGTCCAGAAATTTACCTGGCCCTATACGAGTCCCTAGAGCTCCCGAGCAACACAGTGGACAACGTCGAGGCAGTTTATACAACCCTAGCTCTACTTGTCGTGGAGTTAGCTTCCGAAGAAACGGTTCTAGAGTTGCTAAGACTAGTGCTGAGTCTGCAAGATCTGGCACTGACTAGTGGTCAGATTGGTATTTCTCTAAAATTCAATCTTCACACTGTTGTGATAAGCCTACTAGCCCTCATCGCCTACATTTGCAATATAAACTCTCTCAAGGATTACGCCAATAAGGTAAATTATGGTACTTTTTTATATGCCTTTTGACAGGATGCAGTCTGACTGCGATGTATTATTATTTAATTCTTTTTGGACAGATTATAGAGGCTCGTCGCAAGGAAACCCCACACCTCTTGCCAGACTTGCAGTCAAGATACGATAGTGATTTGCCTTCTCGTGTGCCTCCACCATTGTTGGTGGACCAAACAGTGGTTACGGAGTGTTTGAATGCTGCTGGCCTCGACACTGGTAAACTACAGCAGGGGTCTGGTTATAGTAGTACTTCCCTTCAACATAGGTACTCATCGATGCCTACAGTCATATAGAATAAAATCTTGAATGGTTATATTATAAATTATAACAATGCCGTAGGCACTCCTGGGTTGACAGCGCTGGTAGGAATTCACTGGCTGACATCAACGCAGGCACAGAACTTGACAGCGCCAGCTCTTCTCCTGGAGTTCAGAAGGTACGATCCGTTGTTTTTAATGTTGCAAGTCCTTGAAAAATTTAAAATTACAGTTGCTATTATTATAACTTAGGGCATGTGTGCATGAGCGTTTTTTTTTTTGTTAAGTTCTCATTTAATGATAGATTTTTAAACTGTGGGCTACGGAGTCCAGTCCAAGTTGGGACACCCTTAGTCTGGCTAGTTTCGGAAGCCAAAGATGTTCCGGCAATGTTGTCAGGCCACTTGATGCTTCGCTGAACCTCGTTAGTTCCATCCCTGTTTAGTCCCTGTGTTCCCTACTAATTATTCTGCTCGTTAATAACGATTATTAAAAACTGTCCTATTTTTATTAATAACTATTTTAGAAATTACCTGGAGAAGAACTGACTTTCGAAAGTATGAAGAGGATACTAACAGAGAACAATAACAACCAAGTAGTGGAGGAGGAGAAACGAATGGAGCTTTCACAATTTTTCAGAAATGCTCCGTTCAAAGAACTAGTCGACAAGACCCAACCGAAGGTAACCTCAACTTTCAAGACTTTTCGAAAATGTTATCCTCCAATCTCCCCTATTGTTATTAATTCTGTGAATTATGTGGTTTGTCATTTCAGCACGATGTTCTTCAGAATAAACTCTCGGAGATATTCAGTACATTGTCGGTGGATCCCAGGCAAGCTGCTGTCCTGCCGACGGACATCAAACCAAATCAGACCCCAGCTTACGAAATCCACTTTCCAGAATTGTTCGTTTACTGAGTTCTAACTTACCTGTAGGCTTGTTTAATTGTTTCGTTTATTTATTGCGTTAGGTCACTTTTCGTAGTTGCTTCTGGTGAGGAAACCTTACTGCCACTTCGGTTTGGCTAACTAAACGCTACCTTACTGGCTGAAGTAATCGTAAAAACTCGTTAAACGATCTGCAACGATATGTAATTTAGTCAAATTCAATCTCTATGCTTTTTATTCGGTACCTGAACGAACTTATAAATATAGAGATTCCAGGAATTGTAAAAACGAAAAGTATGTCGACTTGTTTTCAAAAGAATATTGTATCGTTGTACATAATTGTATTCCGTAATTGTTACCTAGAATGAGGTATTTCCTGTTTGATCGAAATTATGTTTTTTGAACGCACGGAGAGACTTTTAAATTATTGACTGTTGTTTATTTAGGTTGGCTGTCACCTAAACTCGGTTTTTTTTATATATATAAATTATATGCATATTTATATTTATATTTATATTTATATAGGTTAGTATCTTGTAAGTCGGAGTTTATATTCCTTGTCTTTTTTTACAGTTTCCCAAAATTGACAATTAATCCGCTTGACAACCGCCTTGATCTTTACGTTGCCGAACCCTTGACTACTGTGAAGGTTCTTTATGCTTGACTTATATCACACATGTATCGAATACGAGACACCAAGCAATATTGTTAACACGAGATGAATACTTTAAATCGAAACTCGTCTACAAGCAGAAATAAATAAACGCACTGTCGAGAGCTGAAGAATATATCTGTTTACTCCTTGATTCGTGACAGAGCAAATTATTTATTAAGTTTGATCCTGTTACATGGACAATTGTGTACCTTCAAGAATTTTGTACAGAATAAGTGACGAATTATCAGACATCAAGTAATTGAAATGAACATGGATGTTCGAACGTTTAGAAGTGTTGCTGTAATTCAACCGCTCACTAAATGCACGTTTCGTATCAACAACTAGTTAAATGCATGCCCCATAGTTAGGGTCGTACATAAATATAAAGTACCTCGGAGGATTTTTTCTAACCTGCTGTACTCTTCCCACAGCAGGGCTCAATTCTGAACTGCATATCAAAACTGTTTTATCAAAAAGCGAAATACGATTCGCTTGCTGCTCCTTCACCTTTAATTCTAGCGAAGTTACGCTCCACACATCATGATGGAGCGATTGAATTAAGAATTGCTATAAATGTGCCATGTGTACAACGACTACCTAAATTAAGGTTGTGTAGTTAGGTAAGAAAATTGAAGGCATCATTAACTGTTGGGTGTTGAGACGAAGTCGTTTGGTTGATTTGGTGCATGCTTGACAGCGTTTCAAGGCTCTACCTTCAGGAGCTCCACGTCGAAAATGAGAACTGCATTTGGTGGAATAGTGTGTCTTTGTCAAGGTTAATATAGTTATCAATTGAAACGTAAAATTCTTTTACGAGGAACTAATGCTAGAATACCAAAATATTTAGCTTCGTCTGAAAATCTATATATTAAGGAATATTAAATGTTATTCAATATTAAAGGATATACGCCAGGGTGGCCTCGGCTCCCGTAAGCGAAATCTGGGGAACAAGTTAGTCTAGCACGTTCGCCGACGCACATCTGGGCAACACCTTGGTCCCAGCCCTTGATCACCTCGCCTTTACCAATTTTGAATTTAAAAGGCACTCCACGATCCCTACTGGAGTCAAATTTCTTCCCATTGTCGAGGGAACCTAAACCAAATCACACACAGTTAATTATAACCGTTTCATAGACGTAACATTTTTTATTAAATAATTAACTGATGTTCAGAATATTTACCTGTATAGTGGACAACAACCGTTTGTCCAGTCTTCGGATAAGTTTGGCCTAGATAAAAAATTAGCAATTAAACGGAGAAGAATATTCTCAAAAACAATTCAACGGATGCATACTCTACATCGACAGCTTGGAACATGTGTCAAGAATGCTTAAATTATAACAGACTACGAGAAAGTGCGACGTCTGAAATATCCACTGGAGTATGAATTGCATAATTCGCATTTTGGCTTCATTTTCCCAGATTTGTTTCGTAACATCGAACTCTTTCAAAACGTCTGTCGCTACAGACAGGACAGTATACACAAAAAGTAGTTATCAACTAATGTAAGCAGGCTACCGTGAACATTGATTAACACGCAGGTTATACACGATTTGGATTTGACGATGTCCAAAAATACCTCCACCGAAATAGCAAGAGTAGAGGAATAACGAATGTGCGTGCCGTGTGCGAGGCCAGCAAATAATTACCATCTCCAGGCGAGAGAACTTCCACATCCACGCCCATAATTGCGTATTTTCTGAAAAAAAAAAACCAAGGAGACTCTCAAAAATGTCCGACCCTCGGGTCAGGATAGTGCCAATTAAATGCAAAACGGTATTGGGACTAGCGAATAAATGTCGCAGACTTTACCTTGAAAGGAGATATGACCGAAATACGACTTGCCGAAAAACGAGGTTCCCTCGAGAAAGAAATTTCAACTGGAAAAGCCGCCGCTAGGGGCGTCACTCTTCGCTCGGTTCCGCTTCGAAGGTAACAATCGATAATCCGCTTTCCGGAGCGCGAGATTCAAACCTCGAAACCTCCTTCGACAATAACTAAATGACAGTATACAAACATCAATAAAGTTCATGGTTATTTTTTATTTATTTCTCGGTTTAACTATAATTGAATCAAGGGAAGACTCCTGAGCAACATTAAACCGTCCTATCGAATCCAAAATTCAGTTAAACTGGAGAACGGCCCCAAGATGGCGGCGGCTAGTCGCGTCAGATTAAAGGCGAATATCCAACCGAAAATATCTTCATCCTAATCGTCATTTCCGCTGCTTCGCAATGTCCTTGAAAACCTGAATTTCTAATAGAACGTTAACTGTCTCTAAAACAAATAAACGAAGTCCTCATTATAGTTCTGAGGAATTGGCGCTGTTCTCTGTACACGCAATAAACTGGAATAATCCGAGTTTCTCCTTTCGTGTCGATCGAGACCCTCGGGATCGAATTAATAATTACATCCATCGTATTAATAAATACGCAAATTCGATCCTGAGCGACTCGACGATTAAATTCGGATTTACTGGGTCCGGATTCGATAAATCCCGGATTAAGTACGATGGAGATGTAGTAATATTACTAAAATATTCAAATGAAACCGTTAATTCCCCAGCCGCGGGCCAACGGCGCGTTTGGGCCGTTCAAAAATTCGCGCTGCTCTCTGATTGGTCGGTCGCCCCGCGTGGCGCTTTGCGCATGCGCGACCTTGGCCTAAGGTGACCGCCGTCCCTGCTCTCGGCAGTGACCGGCATTCGCTCCTTACGAGCCGGACTGAGAGGTGCGTTGTCCGCGACAGTCGGTGATTTCCCTTTCTTTGAGAAAAACAACCGATTAAGCCACGAAATGTCTTCCGAAGACGTGGATCATGAGAAGAGGAAGCAGATCTCGGTGCGCGGGATCGTCGACGTCTCGAATGTCACCAACTTCAAGAAGACTTTCAACAGGCACTTGCACTACACCCTGGTGAAGGACCGGAATGTCGCGACGAACCGCGACTACTTCATGGCCTTGGCCCACAGCGTCAAGGACAATCTCGTCTCGAGATGGATTCGCACCCAGCAGTACTATTATGAGAAAGACCCCAAAGTAAGTGAAAAATATTCCTTGTTGCCCTTTCGCCGTCCCATCTTCCACACGCGTACATATCTCTTGTTTGTCATCGTACATGTGAGTGTAATATTTTAATAGACTTCTCGCACCACCTGACAATCGTTCTTATTACTGTAAATTCATTTTTCTTTCTTTCAGATGCATTTTATGTAGTCAATGGTTAACAGGTTCCGTCCGTTTCATTTCAGTAATCGTTAGTAAGGCAATTAATATTCCGTTCTTTTAATTCCGATAATTAATATTAAGCCAATGGAATTAAAACAACGCGATCCGGTCCGTTAATAGGATGTGACGTTATTAATTTGGTAAGAAGCACTCTTGTTTACGTCGGTATTAATTTGACTATACAATGTCGAAGCACGTCCATGAGTTTTATTTCGTGTTTACCATTTACGCGTGACTTGATTTGTCAGAGCTGACACGTGTATATAAGATAGCCTGCACTTGAAATCCGTGCCAAATTTAAATCCGAGTCTGGCTGGTCACGGTCTCACGTTTGGTGGTTTTCCGCTTCGTTCTTAATATAATTACCGTGATCTGCTGTAATCATTCTTATAAGCAACGGGCACAGGAACTCCGTGTTGTATTTTTTTTTTGTTATACATATTAATAGTTTCCTATGCTAACATTGCAACCGAAAAAACGTGTTCATACCTTCAATTCCCTTAGATATATTGGCAGAATTAATTTTCATTAACACATACGGTACTTTGATGTGGAAAATATAAAACGTTCGCTCGACGAACTTATCAGCCATGTTATCGTAAATTAATTTCAGACAAAACAGAGGACTACATTAGAAGCAGGAATTTTTATCGGAGGGTCTTGTTAATTATTTTTCTGTCAAGATTCCGCTTCGATCCAGCTCGCGCGATATTTCTTCTGTAATTATCTAACTTTGATTAGTAAGGAGCAAAAAAAAGAAATCGTAGTTGAAACGTTAGCACTGGATGGATCTCGGTTCGCATTTTTTATCGGGGCTCAATGTCGAGTTAACGCGATCGAACGAACCAGAGAAAAGGCAAAAAAAAGTGTTGTTTGCGCTTGTATGCCAAAACGATGGTAATACGATGTCTCGGAGTGAAGATTTAATTGACTTGGAAATCACAGATGGCGCAGGGGGTCCCTTTGCAGTCAATTAGGGCCCCAGAAAGCACGAATCCAGAGGATTTCTGGAGTTTTACTTCGATTTCTTTATAATTACTGTACGAAAACGACAGGTGGAGTATGCCATTTGGTACAATACCCAATATAATTCGACCCAGCTGTCGATATAAAAACCAACGTCGGCAACGTAGGCACTTAGAAAAATCTTCTTCATCAACGACAATCAAGTTCCTCGACGTGTTTCACTTCACCTTAAATATAACCGACGAGGAGCTGGGTTTATTTTTAATCGACGTCCCGTGGAACTTGAAAGGTTTATTTCCGAGTCATCTTGCATGGGTCTTCACTTATTTTCCCGTGGTCATAAACCGAGTAATAGAGTTGAACGATCTATACGTAATTATATTTAGAAGACTCATCTTCTACCGAAATCGCAGAGTCCTCATTTTCGAACGAAGTAGCAAAACTATTTGTTTTTATGAAGCCACAAAATACACGTTTTTGAACAAAGTCGCGAAATTCCATTTTTATTTCTTTTTTTTTTTTACAAGAATACAAGATTCTCATACCAAAATGGCGATCCACCTGTAAATGAAAAAATTCGATTTACTCCTTTCGCCAAACATGAAATAAGGAACGCCAATTTCATATAAACTTCTTTATATGAAAGGAGGTTGAAAAGTAAAAAAATGAAGCTGAAAACATGAGTTGCACTTTAACCCTTATCATTCCAACTACTACCAACTTCTTATACTCTTCTAATATTCTTGGACTGATAAGGGATAATTGACGGTAGAATTACCGATATCGGTCGCCTTGTATTTCTCTCTGACTTCAATGTTCCTTTCTCTATTTTTCTTTTTTTTTTTCTTTTTTTCAGAGGGTTTACTACCTATCCCTGGAGTACTACATGGGCAGGACCCTGCAAAATACCATGATTAATCTGGGGATCCAAGGAACCTGTGACGAAGCTTTGTATCAGGTAAAGAAAACTTAACTAACAAGGATCTAATTGAAACTTGGTTAATTTATAGACCAGAACAATAAAAAAAAAGTTTCATTTAGGTAGAACAATTACTGCTCGCATAAGGGGTAAAAGAAGTATTCAAAGGGGTGGCTCACCCTTTAAAAATGAATTTTTTCGAAGAATTCCAAATGCATGTTTCATAATTCTTCATTCCCTACATTTTGACGGTTGTTTCATGAAAATCGGTCGAGTGCTTCTAAATGAAATAGCAAACTCACCCCCTTGCACGGCCAACCTTGAAGCCTGATTTCACCCCCTAAAAGTGTTTATCCGTCGATAAAAAAAAAAAACACGCGTCCCTTAGATTTTAGTCCTCTATAACATATTTAAAAATGAACAAAATCGAAGGACACCTTAGGTACCTCCCTTGTAAGTTAAGGAAAAAGAAATTTCAATTAAAACAATGGCATGATTGTGAAACCAGCCGAATAATAAAATGGAATAAAAAAAAGTAATTTTCCTAGATGGGTCTGAACATCGAGGAGCTCGAGGAACTCGAAGAGGACGCAGGACTTGGAAATGGAGGTTTGGGCAGACTGGCTGCCTGTTTCCTGGACAGCATGGCGACCCTTGGCTTGCCGGCTTATGGTTATGGGATTCGGTATGAATATGGAATCTTCGCCCAGAAGATTAAGAACGGGGAACAGGTCGAGGAACCCGACGATTGGCTGAGATATGGAAATCCCTGGGAAAAGGCCCGACCCGAATTCATGCTTCCGGTCAATTTCTACGGCAACGTCGTCGACACCCCCGAGGGAAAGAAATGGCAGAACACTCATGTTCGTCCGATTGTTCTCTGGCCCACTGTCTAGAATTCAAGGTGTTATGAAAGGGCAATATATGTATATTTATATCGGAGTGAAAATATTTATACAACTTTTATGACCGCACTGAGCTGCACTGAAAAAATTGACACTTTGACGCGTGATTATGGAGGTCCTGATAAGGATCCTGCAGCTCGCGAGATTTCATTTTTTGTGGAAAAAAAATGAAATATGTTTATAAATAAACGCCACTTTCGTATCACCTTGAGCGTTCGCGTCCAGCGGTATAAACTGAAATTTTTTATTTATTTCCAGGTCGTGTTCGCCATGCCTTATGATAGTCCCATTCCTGGATACAAGAACAACGTGGTGAACACGCTGAGACTGTGGTCGGCCAAATCGCCGATCGAGTTTAACTTTAAGTTCTGTAAGTTTAGGATACTTAAACTTAGAAGTAAATTAATCCTATTAGCTGAAATCTTTCAGCGAGACGAGTCTCGATAACAAAAGGTGTCTTATTGTTATAATTTTTTGTTTATCTTCCGCGTAAAATCAAGGTTCTTACGGTGATGTTAAAGTGGCGTCGAACGTGAATTTCGAGGGTTTGGTAGCTTTGAAGTTTGAAACTATTCGGTATGCCTGTTAGAAGAAAAGTATTATAAACAAGAAATGTATTATTAATAAGAAAAAAGTATTATAAACAATTGTCCCCGCGGATGCCACTTTCACATCCCCTTGGTAAGGTTCTTGTTAAATGTTAAGTGTTAATTCATCGGAATGTTTCAGTCAACGATGGAGACTACATTCAGGCAGTCATAGACCGTAACTTGGCAGAGAGCATCACCCGGGTGCTGTACCCCAACGACAACTTCTTCGAGGGAAAGGAGCTACGACTCAAGCAGGAGTACTTCATGGTCGCGGCCACCTTGCAGGATATCATTCGGCGTTACAAGTCCAGCAAGTTTGGCTCGAAGGAACATCACAGAACGGATTTCGAGGCCTTCCCGGACAAAGTCGCCATCCAGCTCAACGACACGCATCCCTCTTTGGCCATTCCTGAGCTCATGAGGATCTTCGTCGACATCGAAGGCCTTCCTTGGGAAAAGGTGCGCGGGAAGAGAAATTAAAAATATACATAAGGATTTATAAATACCTTACATATATATAATGAACCTTTCAGAACACCTTAAGGTGAAGTGAAACACCCTTCAAATCAGTCGACACTAATACAACACTTTTTTTTAAGGGTATTAGACCAAACTGTCCGAAACTTTGACACTTCCTAATTATCTAGAAATTGTCCTGACACATTGAAAATTTGGATTTTTCAAACTACATTTTTTAACTCACTCCAGACCAGAACCAAAATGGCGTCAAGCTCTCATATTTCGATCAATATACTATTATCGAAGGCTCTGATATGAGAATCGAAAGGGTCGGGACAATTTTACGACAATTTAGAACACTCTGGTAATCGATAAACTCGCATTTGAACGGGATAAAGGCAAAAAAAGTGTTGTATGCGGTTCTATGCTAAAACGATGGTAATACGAGGTCTCGGAGTGAAAATCTAATTGGCCTGGAAATCACAGATGACGCAGGGGGTCCCTCTGCAGTCAATTAGGGCCCCAGAAATCACGAATCCAGAGGATTTCTGGACTTTTACTTGGATTTCTTTATAATTATTGTAGGAAAACGACAGGTGGAGTATGCCATTTGGTACAATACCCAATATAATTCGGTACAGCTTTCGATATAAAAACCAACGTCGGCAACGTAGGCATTTAGAAAAATCTTCATCGACGTCGATCAAGTTCCTCGGCGTGTTTCACTTCACCTTAAATCATTAAGCATTCAAGTTGATTTGTTTTAATGAAGATTGACGTTGCTTATTCGTTTTATAGGCGTGGGATCTTACAGTGAGAACGTGCGCTTACACGAACCACACGGTTCTTCCTGAGGCCCTGGAACGCTGGCCAACGAGCATGTTGGGGTACATTCTGCCCAGACATTTGCAGATCATTTACGACATCAATCATTTCCACCTCGAGGAAGTGAAGGCCAAGTATCCAGGGGACCTCGATCGCCTCCGCCGGATGTCGCTCATAGAAGAAGACGGGGAGAAGCGAGTGAACATGGCCCATCTCTCCATCGTCGGAAGCCACGCCATAAACGGAGTTGCGCGTATCCATTCCGAGATCCTGAAGGCCACGGTGTAAGTTGCGACGTTATCCCGGCAAGAAGGGTTTAGCAGGAAAACTTTGGGCATGAATTAAGGTGAAGTGAAACACCCTTCAAAATGGCGTCGAGTTCTCATATTTCAATCGATATACAATTATCGAAGGCTCTGATATGAGAATCGAAAGGGTCAGGACAATTTGACGAGAATTTAGAACACTCTGGTAATCGATAAACTCGCATTTGAACGGGGTAAAGGCAAAAAAAAGTGTTGTATGCGCTTGTATGCCAAAACGATGGTAATACGAGGTCTCGGAGTGAAAATTTAATTGACCTGGAAATCACAAATGGCGCAGGGGGTCCCTCTGCAGTCAATTAGGGCCCCAGAAAGCACAAATTCAGAGGATTTCTGGAGTTTTACTTGGATTTCTTTATAATTATTGTAGGAAAACGACAGGTGGAGTATTCCATTTGGTACAATACCCAATATAATTCGACCCAGCTGTCGATATAATAACCAACGTCGGCAACGTAGGCATTTAGAAAAATCTTTATCGACGTCTACCAAGTTCCTCGACGTGTTTCACTTCACCTTAAGGAGAGGCGCATTCATGATACACAATATATCCATTTTAGATTCCGCGATTTCTACGAGCTGAGCCCGGAAAAGTTCCAGAATAAAACGAACGGGATCACTCCTAGGAGGTGGCTGCTCCTTTGCAACCCGAATCTCTCGGATCTTATCGAGCAGGTAAATTTCTTGAGCCTTGTACCTCCAAGGTGATACGAAAGCGTTATTATCTTTTGGGTTTTGTATGAAGTAACGCCTCGCCTTCTCTTTAGACAATAGGAGATGAATGGACGGTTCACCTGGAGCAGCTTCAGCTGCTGAAGAAGTTCGCCAAGGATCCCGCGTTCCAGCGGAGCATCATCAAAGTGAAGCAGGAAAACAAGATGCGAGTCGCCGAAATGCTGGAAGAGGAGTACGGTGTTAAAATTAACCCGGCGTCGATTTTCGACATCCAGGTGAAGAGAGCCATTACGGAGACTTATCCGTTTAGAAGATATAGATCTTACATAGTTTCGAGTTCTACTTTATATGTTCACGCGTATGTCCTCGTCACAGGTGAAGCGCATCCACGAGTACAAACGGCAGCTACTGAACTGCCTGCACATCATAACTCTGTACAACAGAATCAAGAGGGATCCCTCTGCTCCGGTTGTTCCCAGAACAATCATGATCGGCGGCAAGGCCGCGCCAGGTTATCTCCTCGCCAAGAAGATCATTAAGCTGATCTGCAGCGTAGCTAATGTCGTCAACAACGACCCGATAGTGGGCGACAAGCTGAAGGTGATCTTCATAGAGAATTACAGAGTGACCCTGGCGGAGAAGATCATTCCCGCGGCTGACCTCAGCCAGCAAATATCCACCGCTGGTACCGAAGCGTCTGGAACTGGAAACATGAAGTTCATGGTGAGGCTCCCTGCACGTTTAGGGTGAAGTGAAACACTCTTCAGATCAGTCGATGCGAATACAACACTTTTTTTTTAAGGGCATTAGACCAAACTGTCCGAAACTTTGACACATCACTCCTGATCATCTAACAAGGGAACATTCCCAAGTGTCCGCCTCCGATCTTATTGAGTTTCATATATGTTGAAGAACACAAAAATCTAAGAGACACGTGTTTTTTTTATATCTGCAATGGTCCACAATTAAGGGGTGAAACAACCCCCCAGTTTAGCGAAAAATCGGTTTTTAAATATTTTTCGTAGGAGCAGTGGAAGGATTTCGACGAAACTTTGCATAAACGTATTTTGTATAAGGACGGTGACAACACAATATTGTTCAGCAATGTTGCACCCCCTCAAGGGGGTGAACTACTAACTACTAACTGAAATAAAGGCAAAACAAGTGTTGTTTGCGCTTGTATGCCAAAACGATGGGAATACGAGGTCTCGGAGGTCAGATTTAATTGTCCTGGAAATCACAGATGGCGCAGGGGGTCCCTCTGCAGTCAATTAGGGCCTCAGAAAGCACGAATCCAGAGGATTTCTGGGGTTTTACTTGGATTTCTTTATAATTACTGTACGAAAACGACAGGTGGAGTTTGCCATTTGGTACAATACCCAATATAATTCGACCCAGCTGTCGATATAAAAACCAACGTCGGCAACGTAGGCATTTAGAAAAATCTTTATCGACGTCGACCAAGTTCCTCGAGGTGTTTCACTTCACCTTAATCACCGTAATACTCCTTGTAGATTATCTCCAAGCGGATGATGAATATCTTTTCTCCAGTTGAACGGCGCCCTCACCATCGGTACCCTAGACGGCGCCAACGTGGAGATGGCCGAAGAGATGGGCGAGGAGAACATCTTCATCTTCGGCATGACCGTGGACGAGGTGGAGGAGCTCAAAAAAAAGGGTTACAACGCCTACGATTACTACAACAGATTGCCGGAGGCCAAACAGTGCATAGACCAGATCCAAGGAGGGTTCTTCAGCCCGAACAACCCTGACGAGTTCAAGGACATCGCCGATGTCCTCCTCAAGTGGGATAGATTCTTCCTCCTGGCGGACTACGAGAGTTATATCAAAACGCAGGAACGAGTCAGCCAGGTCTACCAGGTAACTGAATTTCCATCCGGGTGGAGTGACCCTTTCGTAGGGATTGACCTCGGGAGTTTCACTTGAACTCTCTCATCTCCCACAGGACGAGAACAAGTGGGTGGAGATGACGATCCACAACATAGCGTCTTCTGGGAAGTTCTCGTCGGACCGGACGATCGAAGAGTACGCCCGCGAGATCTGGGACGTCGAGCCGACCTGGGAGCGACTTCCGGAACCTCACGAACCCCGCGACGTCTAGGAAGTCGGAAAAGGCCTCGAGGTTATTCTAGAAGGAAAGCCGATGACGCGCTAATGCCACGCAGATCAATTTCTCAAAGGTGCTTACGAGAGAGTTCGCATCTCGTCCAACTAATCGCAGACTGCTCCGTCCTAGAGATGTCGTCGAGCCCACCCTGGACTGCCGGTTTTTGTTGTTACATTCGAACGCGGCAGCCAACGATTAGTAATTATTTCTAACAGAAGCGAGGTAGAGAGCCTCCTCGAGCGCCTTTCCCTAGAGTCGTTTGTTCGAATGGCAGTGCTCTCGATACGACGAATGTATATTTTTTATTCCTATGCATCATTTCCCACGGATACTTCTAGTCTAGGTAGAGTTTCCCGATGACCACAGGACTGATTAGGAACTTTTGTGTCGCGTGTGTTCATGCGTTTAAGGCGATATGAAAGGGTCATTCTACATACACACAAAGCCTGAAAATATTTTTTAAACCTTTCCGCAAAAGCTGGTGATTTCATCAATCATTTGAAACTTTCACCGAGAAAGTTAAACGAAAGTTAAACGGAGATTAAGAAACAAAAATTGGCAGGACCATCCACTCTGTACCTTCGGTATATATATATATATAAAAAAATAAAGGATAAGGATAACTCGTCCCTTATCACTCGAGTGCGCGGTCGCAAATAACCACCGCCGGGGGCGTCTTATTAATATCGTTTATTTATAAATTAATCGTGCGGATGCAGATGCAATAATGGAAACGTGAAGAAGCGGTACGCGTATTACAGTTTTTTTTTTTTTTTCACATTCTTAACACTTGGCCGTAGGGTCTCGATAAAAACATGTGATTCGACAGCTACAGATAGATAATATAAAGTTGTTGCATCTTCATCGATACGGTTATCACCTCTCTCTTTCTCTCTCCCTCTCTGTCAGCTCGTTCCTCTCTTCTACGCGCAAACTCGACGTACGTTAAACTTTAAGCCTTTTGTTCCCCCCGTCTTTACAATACATCAGCCATATAATTACAATGACAATCATAATAGCAATATATAATCAATGATAAAGGTAATAATATCTCGCAACCGTTCAACGTCATATTAAGAGACAGTCAAAAAATTCATCTCTAATCGCTTATCATCCCGCCCTATCTCCCTCTCTCTCTCCTCCGCGTCTCCAACTGCGCGCGAGTGCGTTAACGAATTAAAAGAAGAGGGGGAAAAAGAAAAGAAAAGGAAAGAAAAAGAAGTAAAGGACCCCCGTTGGTGGAGGCGTCCCTTGAGACCCGAAGAGATTTACAAAAGGGGTAGGGAAAGAGAAAAACAAGAGACAAGGAAATGATTTCGTCAAGCTTCGACACTGTTCGATGTCGCCATTTTTCCCTGATAGAAATTTCGAGATTTCGTTAATTCTCTGTTACTCTCTCTCCCCCTCACTATACATGTATATATAAAAAAAAAAGTCAGGGACAGTTACTTATCGTTACGATACACGATTAATGGATGCGAGTGATAGTCGGTGAAGTGGGACACGGTGCGAAGGGACATACCTCATCCCGTTTTCTTAGTTATTCTTTATTTTCCGCTTAATCGGTGACTTTCCAGTAATTATCTCGGCCCTCGGTCGAAGGATACGGATCGCGAGGAGAGGAAGGGAGCGACGGGGCCGTTATCACGAAGGACTATAGCGCATCCTTCCTCCGTTCGGCCAACTCGAGCGGGGACGCCGCCATCTTGGATCTCACGTTTACCTCCTCCTTACTTATTCCCTATCTCTTTTCCCTGACTCCTGACACGGCGTGTCGTATCTCCTGCCCCGTAACAACGAAACGCTTAATAATCCTAACGTTTATGACTTCGTTATTAATGATTCCCCTCGTTAATCGGTAACGGTTAGATGCCGACTTCTTCCGCGGTTCTTCTTCTTCTTCTTCCCCCTCGACGCCGCCATCTTGTCCGCGTTCGGCGGGAAAATTCGAGCGCACTCTCGACGGTCCCTATTTATTTTATCCGTGTACGTGTGTTCTCCATTTATTCCGTCGTGTTGTCCTCGTCCGGATGCACAAGGACGAAGAAACCTCTTCCCGCACGCCTCCTCGTCTCTTCTTTTTCTTCCTATCTCGGTACATTTGCTTTTGCTTCTTTTTTATTTCCCCCGGTAAATTCTGGCCTTCTCTCTCACTCTCTCTCTCTGTTTCCGTCCAACGCTCAAGTTTTCCTAGTTCGATCTCGCGCTCGCCAGGAATCCATAAAAAGTCGCGGCTCCCACTTTTTACTCCTCCTTCGTCGGCTCGATCTTCTTGCCGAACGGGATGGCGGCCTTTACCCTGAAAAATCGACGAATCGTTAATGCTTTTCACCGCCCACATTGCGCATAATTGAAATCTCAAGCGCGATGTCACATCATCCATTAATCATTTAGAGCGATCCTCCACTTACTTCGCGGTGATCTCGTTGACCTTCCCTTGAACCAGGGCGAGGTTCTGGTCTATCTGTGCCTTATTCGTTTCGTACACCTTAGGCAGCGTGAAGAGGGCGACCACACCTGAAAGACACCGGTAAATTAATAAGGTTGATAAAAATCATGATTTCCCTTGAAAGCCCGAAAAAAAATCGCTGATTATTCTAATCGCGATTAGAGTCACAATTTATTTAAATCTCTACGTATGTGGAAATAAATTCCTCACGTAAGAGGTAAGGTAAAAATCATGATTTCCCTTGAAAGCCCGAAAAAAAATCGCTGATTATTCTAATCGCGATTAGTGTCACAATTTATTTAAATCTCTTACGTATGTGTAAACAAATTCCTCACGTAAGAGGTAAGGTAAAAATCATGATTTCCCTTAAAAGCCCGAAAAAAAATCGCTGTGATTATTCTAATCGCGATTAGAGTCACAATTTATTTAAATCTCTTACGTACGTGGAAATAAAATCCTCACGTAAGAAGTACGGTAAAAATCATGATTTCCCTTAAAAGCTCGAAAAAAAATCGCTGATTATTCTAATCGCGATTAGAGTCACAATTTATTTAAATCTCTTACGTATGTGGAAATAAATTCCTCACGTAAGAGGTAAGATAAAAATCATGATTTCCCTTAAAAGCCCGAAAAAAAAAAATCGCTGATTATTCTAATCGCGATTAGAGTCACAATTTATTTAAATCTCTTACGTACGTGGAAATAAATTCCTCACGTAAGAGATAAGGTAAATCGATATCACTGATACATTGTCAGAATCCGTTTCCTATCAATGACTTTAACCCTTTGGGTGCTAAGTACTTTCGGCGTATGGGCGAATTTCGTCAGGACGTGCTAGCGATATTCGACCAAACGTCGGACGCACATATGCGTCGACAGCGCTCAAAGGGTTAATCAGAATGACTTAAAATCAATTAAACCCTGCTAATGGAAGAACTTCAGATATTTCATCTCCACTATTTTCTTTCAGGCTTGACCATCTTCCTTCGTAAATCTCTGGCTCACCGATGATGATGAGGGTCATGCCGTTGAACCAGGAGCCGAGGTAAGTTAGGCACCACAAGGTGACTCCGAACTTGAACGAATCGACCATGTCCTCGACCAGGAAGAGCCGACGTAGCTCTCCGATCGCTGCGTTTGCATGCACCACGGCGATGTCGGCGACCTCGCGCACCTTCTCCGGCGACAACGTCACGTCTAATTCAAGGATCTCCCTGAAAGAAAGAAAAAAGATGAGATCATGAAAGTCATACCAGGGAAAGGAAGGGAAAGAAAGTAGACGCGCGGCAGCATTAGAAAATTGAATTTTCCCATTGAACGGTATCTATGATAATTATAGCAAGCTTCGATTCCTCGTTTGAAGCTGAAGGATGCCAGGTTTACTTAAACGAAATTAAATCCACATTTAAGGTGAAGTGAAACACGTCGAGGAACTTGGTCGACATCGATAAAGGAGATTTTTCTAAATGCCTACGTTGCCGACGTTGGTTTTTATATCGACAGCTGGGTCGAATTATATTGGGTATTGTACCAAGTGGCATACTCCACCTGTCGTTTTCGTACAGTAATTATAAAGAAATCCAAGTAAAAGTCCAGAAATCCTCTGGATTCGTGCTTTCTGGGGCCCTAATTGACCTGCAGAGAGACCCCCTGCGCCATCTGTGATTTCCAGGTCAATTAAATCTTCACTCCGAGACCTCGTGTTGCCATCGTTTTGGCATACAAGCGCAAACAACACTTGTTTTGCCTTTATTTCAGTTAGTAGTTAGTAGTTCACCCCCTTGAGGGGGTGCAACATTGCTGAACAATATTGTGTTGTCACCGTTCTTATACAGAATACGTTTATGCAAAGTTTCGTCGAAATCCCTCCACTGCTCCTACGAAAAATATATAAAAAACCGATTTTTCGCTAAACTTTGGGGAGTTGTTTCACCCCTTAATTGTGGACCATTGCAGATATAAAAAAAACACGTGTCTCTTAGATTTTTGTGTTCTTCAACATATATGAAACTCAATAAGATCGGAGGCGGACACTTGGGAATGTTCCCTTGTTAGATGAGCAGGAGTGATGTGTCAAAGTTTCGGACAGTTTGGTCTGGTACCCTTAAATAAAAAGTGTTGTATTAGTATCGACTGATTTGAAGGGTGTTTCACTTCACCCTGAATGAAATTAAATCCACATTTAAATCGCCTAAAATTGATCAGCTGATATACAATCGCATCCCTCGCTGTTTGCGAAAGAGCAGCCGATTTCTTTTTAGGAAGCTGGGAATCTCTGAGAACGTTATCTCTAATGGAAGGAGGAAGTCAAAAAGTAAATATACGCTTACTTGAACGGATGTCCGTCGGAGGTCTTCTGGAGGGCCTGGAGGACCGCCTTGTAGATGCGGTAGGACATGGTGCCACATAACGCGAGAAGGGACACATAAGCGAGGACGCTGATCAAACTGAAGTAGGCCAGCGACAAGAGCACTCCTAGAATTGCACCAAACACGCTCCCCGACTTTTTGGGATCGCGCCAGTAGATCAGAGCAGCCACTGCGAACAAGGTCGAATAACATTGTTAGACTTCTAAGGGCACGAGGGCTCTTATAAAAAAGACGGACATAAAGCAACTAAAGATAATCCCAACGCAGAGAAGGATTAAGGCGAAGCCGAACTGGTCGAGATATCTCGTCGTCGGTATAAGAGACTCTTCTAAATACCTACGTTACCGACCCTGGTATTAATGTCGCCCTCGAGACCAGTTCGGTCCACACCCTTGAAAGAAAAAGTGTCTCATTAGAATCGACTGATTGGAAAAGGGGTTCATATCACCGTGAAACATCCCCCCCGAGGTAGGAAATAACTTTTGCCATTGCAATTACCGCAAAAAGAGATGTTGAAAGGGTGTTGCAAGGCATTGTTATCGGTCGCCAATGTCGTCGCGTGGCATAATAAGCTCTGCACTTGTGCAAGACTTTCCTGGCTGGGTTTATTTATAAGAGCATAAGACCGGATTAACTAGCAAACGCGTCTGGGATATGTTTCTCCATCCCCGAAAGCCCATTTGAAATCATTTGATTAAAATTTCAGGTACACTGGCGGTCATGAATGGCTTCCTCGTGTACATGGCGCAGCCTGGTGGTGGTAACGCAAACGTAACGTAAAGAATGAGCTTGACAACTTATGTATTTGCGGTACCTGATGTATAATAAACTGTAAAATAATTAGTGTAATAAAGCAACTTGTTGAACGATAACAATGAGTACGTTTAATTAGACGAGCGTGTCCTGCAAACCCTCTAATCTCCTATTCCTGATCCTTGAAAATCACTCGTAGATCTAAGGCACGAAACTCGGTGCCACCTCCTCGGTTGTCCTATGTTCCTGTTAGAAATCGAAAATTTCAACCCCTAAAATTTTTTCCCGGGAGAATTCCGTGCCACCTCCTCGATTGTCCTATGTTCCTGTTACAAATCGGAAATTTCATCCCCTAAAATTTTTGCCCGGGAGAATTCCGTGCCACCTCCTCGGTTGTCCTATGATCCTGTTAGAAATCGGAAATTTCGACCCCTACAATTTTTTCCCGGGAGAACTCCGTGCCACCTCCTCGGTTGTCCTATGATCCTGTTACAAATCGGAAATTTCATCCCCTAAAATTTTTGCTCGGGAGAATTCCGTGCCACCTCCTCGGTTGTCCTATGATCCTGTTAGAAATCGGAAATTTCGACCCCTACAATTTTTTCCCGGGAGAATTCCGTGCCACCTCCTCGGTTGTCCTATGATCCTGTTCCATCTCTGGCGATTTATAACAGGAACATAGAACAACTGAGGAGGTGGCACGGAATTCTCCCGTGCAAAACTGTTAGGGGTCGAAATTTTCGATTTCTAACAGGATCATAGGACAACCAAGGAGGTGGCACCAAGTTTCGTGCTACCTCCTCGGTTGTTCTATGATCCTGTTCCGCCTCTGGCGATTTATAACAGGAACATAGAACAACCAAAGAGGTGGCACGGAATTCTCCCAGGCAAAAATTGTAGGAGTTGAAATTTCCAATTTCTAACAGGATCATAGGACAACCGAGGAGGTGGCACCGAGTTTCGTGCCTTAGGTCTACGAGTGATTTTCAAGGATCAGGAACAGGCGATTAGAGGGTTTGCTAGACACTCTCGTCTAATTAAACATACTCATTGTTATCGATTAACAAGTTCCTTTATTGCATTAATTATTTTACAGTTTATTATACCTCAGGTACGGCAACTACATACATTTTTGAGCTCGTTAACAGAATATTAACAAATTGTCCAGTCTTGTCGTCAGCTCCTCTTGTTTCTTCAGGTTGAGACCTCGTAGAGTATCCGGCCATCACCTGGTTGCTCGGTGTAAAATCCAAGGTAAGGATTCCCTCTGCGACTCTCGGGAAAATCCATGAGACATCCCTCTTCAACGGGAACAATCCACCAAACACGGTAACGTGACATTAATATAACCGTTAAATAACGTTTGTAACGGTGCCATCCCCTAAAGATGGCGCCGATCCGCGAATTAGCCGCACATCGACGACCGCCAGTGTACAATGATCGATTTATCACGAACTGATTTTCTTTTTTATTTTAAATAGTCCGAGAGCACACCTCGACACCTGAATTACTCCAAAAGTACAACGACCTCGTGGATCGGAGCGGAAAGCACGAAATCGTGAATCATTCATGTGGCGACAAATTAAGGTTAGGTCCCGTTCGACGGATTAACTGAGAATTAATGATTCGGACGTGATCATAGACATTACTACTTATGGTAAGTGGTCACACGTGAGCATCAATTAATGCCATCGTCCAAAAATGTATCTTTAGTTTAATTCATCCAAGAATTATCGGCAAAAACGGCGATTTAAGCCGACACCAAAATGGCGCCTAAGAAGTTCCACTTGCAACATTTTTTCTCCAAACTGAATCAGCCGAAAAATTGGAAACTTTAACACGTGAATTACGGAGGTCCTAACGAAGGTTTAGAAATACTCGGGAAATTTTACTTTTACATTTCTTCAAATATATATATATATATGCCCATAATTATGAAAGTGGTCTAAGTCATATATTTTTTGTTGAAATTACATTGAATTAATTTAGTTTGAAATAATGTGGCGTGAAATAACTGATAAACTCATTTTTTTTTTTTCAATTTTGACTTAGACCATTTTCATAATTATGGGCACATATGTCTTCATAATTTGAAATTTCACTTTCGTAGCGCCTTAAGGAGTTACACGAAATGGCGACTCTTCGATATCGCGTCTCCCCGGAATTCTTCGAAAGGAAAGGAGGAAGGCGGAAATAATAGCGGTGCATCCGTTCCGGAAAGGCCGTCGTGCGGCCTTCAGCGATCGTAAAGGGCCCGGGGTTAATTACGCACGTAAAGAGCCGGCCAGCAAGTACGCGGGTAATTGTAACGTAATACCTCATGACGTTCGCCACGACCGACAACCGTGAAGAATTCGACAAGGTTGCCTTAAGGTGAAGTGAAACACGTCGAGGAACTTGATCGACGTCGATAAAGATTTTTCTAAATGCCTACGTCACCGACGTTGGTTTTTATATCGACAGCTGGGTCGAATTATATTGGGTATTGTACCAAACGGCATACTCCACCTGTCGTTTTCCTACAATAATTATAAAGAAATCCAAGTAAAACTCCAGAAATCCTCTGGATTCGTGCTTTCTGGGGCCCTAATTGACTGCAGAGGGACCCCCTGCGCCATCTGTGATTTCCAGGTCAATTAAATCTTCACTCCGAGACCTCGTATCCCCATCGTTTTGGCATAGAAGCGCATACAACACTTTTTTTGCCTTTATCCCGTTCAAATGCGAGTTTATCGATTACCAGAGTGTTCTAAATTCCCGTCAAATTGTCCTGACCCTTTCGATTCTCATATCAGAGCCTTCGATAATAGTATATCGATCGAAATATGGGAGCTCGACGCCATTTTGGTCCTGGCCTGGGCTGAGTTAAAAAATTGTTTTGAAAAATCCAAATCTTGAATATATCAGGACAATTCTTAGATGATGTGTCAAAGTTTCGGACAGTTTGGTAAAATCCCCTTACCAAAAAGTGTTGTATTCGAATCGACTGATTTGAGGTGGGTTTCACTTCACCTTAATACATACATAATAGCCCTTTCCGTAACACCCTAATAAGTATTTAAAAGTGAAACAATATTCCCCCGTTAGCCCCTCCGAGTGTCTCTAATCGAGGATAGAAACCGGTGTAAAAAAAAAAAAAAAAAGTGGGTTATCACATTCGACGAGAGAACGATTGGGCGCTGCCACTGAACTCTCCACGTCGGCCTATACGTCGCGGCGCGCGAGACCACGTGGAGCAGAGTACCATATGTTCGGCCGCCCTCTGGTCATCGGGTCTTCCTCCGCGCGCGAAGCGAGGTTCGAACGAGTCTCAGAGGAAGAGGGAGACCAGACACAAATTGCGATCCATTGAGGGCGAGAAGAGATAGAGATAAACAACAAACTCACCGGGTCCCCTCTCAGGTAGGTCTTCGCCGCGGTGCTTGGACGCGTGCTTTCTAACCATGTTTTTTTCCTCTCTCACTTCTCTTTTTTTTTTTCCAAGATCGGAGGAACGGTCCGAACTGGTCGCCGGTTCGCGGTGGAGTGCGGGCCAGTTCCGAGGGGGTCAGCTCGTGGCCCGAAACCGGTTCCCGAGACCCGAGGGGGCGGGGAGGGGGAGGTTAGGGCGCCATCTTTCGAGCGGAAGCGGAGACGCCAGGTCGGGAGGGAAAGAGAGGGGAAGATGGCGCCTAAACGGGAGGGACGGAGACGGATAGACGCAAAATATGAGAAAATTTCTAGGGAGGGGGACGCAGAAGACGCGCGAGTTAATCACCAGAGTCGATTTCGAATCTTCGGTGAGAGTGCTCGCAATTCGCACTCTCGCCTCACCTCTACTTGCTCACCTGATTTCGTATCTCGTTGAAGATGCGAGGGAAATTTCTTGTTTTTTTTTTCCTTTCTTCCTCGAAAAATGAAATTACATGAGTTTCGAGATCTTTTAAAAGAAAGTTTTATAAAAACGTGACGTGTATATGTTACGGTGAAACACCGAAATCTGGAGAATGTCGACTTTCACCGATGAATGTCAACATTCACATAGGCGCTTCGTGTATATCCGAAATATTTGCTAAATACCCTTATTTCTGACTTACACCGGTAAATGTTGACATTCACCGGTGTGTGATTGTCGACACACACCGGAGAAGGTCCGAATGTACAACAATGTAATGAAATATTCGATCTCTCGCCGACGTATTTGGTATCTGTTGACATTCACCGGTGAAAGTCGACATTCTCCAATTTCGGTCATTCACCGTAACATATACATACATATACAATGACCCTTTCGTATAATCTTAAGTTCGTTCTTCTCCGTGAAATTTTTCACTGTCAATGGCGATCGTGACTCACGGACTCTCGGTGCATGTAGACGCGCGAAAAGTGAGTCGAAAGAGTGAAAAGAAGGCTCGACACGAGAACGGCCAACGGTAATGGCACTTCGATCTGACGGCACGCATCGAGTCAATTCTATTTCTGTCCCGGCATAGCCTGGAAATAGCACCGCAGAAATTCTAGAGAGGACAGAATTCAATCCAGACCACGTCGCATCGGGACTCCTCCCTTGTCTCGCACCGTATTCATCGGCAGACAAAAATTCGAAAACCTTCCCCGCGACCCTACCTCAATCATCAAACACTTAATGGCCGAGTTCCACAATTCGAGCTAACCGGAGTTTACACGATTAACGGCAGATTTGAAAAGCGTCTAAGCCAGATAAACTTCGGTTAGCCGGTTTATGTCCGGTTTGGCAGCTCAAGTTAAACCCGCGGCAAATGAATTAAACTCCGATTACCGCAACTTGCGGAACCGGGCGTCAGTTTCCACATGCACCTTAAACTCCGGATTCGAGTTAATAAATCTGCCACTAGCGGCGTTTCCCCCGCGCCAGTACCGACATCCATTAATCCTTTAATACTATTCACCGTTTAATCCTGGCAAAGTCCTTCGTACATATAAATTCGACATTCGGATGTCGACGGAAGTGAGATTAAAAGTCAAGCTTAAGGCTGAAGTTACGGAATGCAGTGCTCCAATGAGACGCAAAACATTTCCCCGTACTTCGGTTAGATCCGCGGATTATCCAGGGGAAAGAGGGTCGACTCACCGGAGGTCTCCCGCCTCGTGGCCGCGTCTCGTCGCGCTTGCCCCATGGCAGGTGGAGGACCGCGAGGATGGTCCCGGAGGGAGTGCGCACCTCCCGAATCCTCCGGATGCACGCGCGTATGACTAACCTGGTCAGGTTGGACTTTACGACCAGCCGTCGCGACCACGGACGTAAGAATAGTGGCGACGCGTCCGATCCATCGAAGAGGGACGGCGAGAGAGACAGACGTATAGGAAACGTAGCGAGCGAGACGAGGACACGTGTACGCGCGCACACGGGTGTAGAAAAATAGGAGTACGGTCAACCGGCGACGGAGAAAGAGAGAAAGAGAGGGCCAGACGAGCGCGTCGAGGGTAAGAGAGAGAAAGAGTGAGAAAGAGAGGGCCAGACGAGCGCGTCGAGGGTAAGAGAGAGAAAGAGAGGGCCAGACGAGCGCGACGAGCGTAAGAGAGAGAAAGAGAGAGCCAGACCAGCGCGATGAGGGAAAGAGAGAGAAAGAGAGAGCCAGACGAGCGCGACGAGCGAAAGAGAGAGAGAGAGGGGGCGCAGTCGCGCCGAAAGTAAGGGGGGAGGAGGGGGGACGGCGAGAGAGTGCGTGCAGAGAAGCACCACACGGCGCGCATGCGCGCCGGCCGGTCGAAGCGCCGCGGAGTAGCCAGCGAGAGGAGAAGGGAAACCGAGCCTGCAATTTCGAGACCCTCGCGTGAGCGGCGACGAGAGGGAAGGACCGTGGAAACTTCCATGCCGGGGTGGTAGAAAACGCACGTAGAGTCGTGGTCAGTAGTTTCCAGTGCGTTATATTACCCGGGTAATATAACAGAGAAGGAGAATATAACCGATAGTGTTTTTAAGGTGACATGAAAGGGTCAATCTACATATACAAAACTTCCAAACATTTATGAAACTTCAACACGTGATTATGGAGGTCCTAAGAAAAAACGTAGTGCTCATGAAATTTGATTAAAAANAAAATATATATATGTACATGTATTCTTCTCGTTTTAGTCCGATGAATAAAAAAAAAATGTGATCAACAATTAAATCTCACGAGCACCAAGTTTTTCCAGGCCTCCATAATCACACGTTGAAGTTTCCAACGAATCGGTGCATCCAGCTTGGAAAAATGTTTTATAAACACTTTTGACGTTTCATGTACACGGAATGACCCTTGTCATGTCACGTTAAAAACACTAGTGGTCAGTGTGTGTGTGCACCTCGTTCGCATTATGCCCACAAGAGGGAACTGAACTCGGGTCACGTGACGCGTTCTCATTGGCTGCCGGCGAATTCTCCCGACCACGTGGGTCGGACATCGTCGCGGATCTTCTACTCGCCGATAAAGATATGAGTAACAATTCAGGAGGGAACCCCTTGAAATGTGTTTCACTTGAGCGAAATAAAAGCAGCCATTATCTAATTGCTACCGGCAAGCGAAGTACCGTACAGGCTATGTGCATTACCTCGATCCACAATTATAAAAAAAAAAAAAAGCGCCGACTTAAAAAATCAGTAACCCGAGGAAAAGTTCTCCGTGAACGTACATAATAGAAAAATGAAATAATAAACAATACAGGGGTTGAATTGAAAACCTCCTTTTTTTTTTTCTTTTCTTTTTTGAAGTCGGCTAATACGGCGGTACCTCGATCAAAGTGTACAAAGTGAATTCGGAGGGCGCCGGCAGGACGCGCAGTGCCGCACTGCGGATATTCGAAGCTCGATTCGATATATGCGTCGACTATGGAAGAAACCATCTCCGAGAAGTCCCACCGATCCTCAACATTTTCCCCGCATTCAGACATTAAGGCGTCGAGACACGAAAACGAAGGCGCCCCGAATCATGTGATAAACCTCAACACGTGATTATAAAGACGCTAAGAAAGGAAGCAATGCTCATGAAATTTGACAAAAAAAAAACGTGTCCTTAGTTTTAAATTGGGATAAACACGAAAAAATTTTTCCCCAGTTTTCCGTACATTAAGTGGAAAATGTTGAATTTCAAGCGTGTCAGGGATACGAACTTCATAAACATAGAGTCCCATATTCGTGTCATTTACGTGGAAATTGTAAAGTAAAATACCTAGTAATTTACTGTTGAAGAATCTACGTAAATTACCTAGTAATTTACTGTTGAAGAATCTACGTAAATTACCTAGTAATTTACTGTTTAAGAATCTACGTATATTACCTAGTAATTTACCATTGAAGAATCTACGTAAATTACCTAGGGTATTTTATTTACCGAACCCTGAGCCCTTCCCGGGGTTCCCCTTTACGGCGTAATGTGCAGCGACGAAGGCGACGCCTTTCATCGATTTCGCTGGACAATTAACCACTCCCAGCACCCGGGGAAAGAGGACTCTCCTCGCCTCGCGAGAAAACCGGGGAGTTAGCGACAATCGACTCGTTATTCCCTAGCCGAAGCCTGAAGTTCATGTCTATAGGCACCTCGTCCTCTAATCCGCGGCCGGCACTTTCGACAAACGTTGAAAAGCGCCGCGAGGGTGCTCCTTCTCTCTCCGTCTCTCCCCCTCGTTCCCAATCTCTCTTTCTCTCTCCCTCGCTCGGCCACCGGGTCACGCCTGCTAATAATAAACGCAATTAGAGCAGAGCTCGCTACCGGGTGTACTCGATGGTTTTAAAAGAGCGCGCGTACAAAGATTGGCCGGGATCCAGCAGACATGGACTCCTGCGACGTCCATTGTGGATCTGACATCGTCTTCGAGTCGACCGAATGACGAAGCAAGGAACTAGAAGGATCGCCATGTAGCTTCGAAGAGACGTTCCAAAAGTTGACAACCTATCGACTGAATGCGATGAAATGTAATTAAAAAAAGTAGAAAGAAAATAAGTATGCCAGAAGTGAAACCTCTTACGTTATTTCACTGCACGATACATTAGCTCGGTTATTATTAGCTGCTCTTCAAGGTTCTAAGCCGGTGTGTATATTAATCACCTGGTTCGTACCAATCGACGATCGTTCCTTAAGCTAATTGAACATCTAACGTCGATCGCTTCGTCCAAGGTGTTGGCGATCGAGCAGGACCGTTCCCATCGAGTCAATATACAATCAAGGAGACTTAATAAATTCTGACATCCAAGCCTCGAACGGAGAGAGAAAGAGCGATCGTACCCCTGTTCCCAGCATCGGTTCTCTCCTTGCCAACTCCTTAGTTCCGACATGTCCAGGCACGTGTGACATACGCACACATTCCAGAGAAAATCTATTGCCTCGTGTCTGGGCGATTTGGCACCTAAGCAAGTCCGTTCTATATATTACTTATTTTTAAATGCCTCCGGTCAGCGCCCCTCTTCTTCGCTACATGCACTCGGACATGCCACGGAGCCTTTGCAACATCCAACTCGAAGGTTAACGTATAACATCCGGCGCACTCGTTTTGCGACATTAGTTCCCCTAGCGATTGAAACATCCTTAACGACAGTCCCTGCAGCGTGCGACATGTCGGCACTACCTACGACGAAAACGATGATTAATCACATACTCATGGATATCACAGTACTCCGATAATAGGGTTAAGTATCCCCAGGTCCGATCCAACGGTAATAATCCATACCCGAGGTTGCAACCAGAGACACAATAGATCCCCGATGTGGCGTGCCGCCTCGCACCAACCGAGGGCCACCTAACCTAACTCGGAGCGGTCTACTCACATTCTTCCCTCGTGACAGCCATTTTCCCAGCGGTGCCCATGAGCGGCGTCTACGCCAAGTGGAAGGTCGGCTCGTCCTCGACGGGATCCGGGGAAACCGAGGTGGGCGCTCTATCTCGAGCCGTACACTCCGCGGCGAAGGGACTGGCCGCGAGAGGTGAGCGAGCGAGCGAGCGCGCACGCCCTCCCAGCTACGCTGGCACCGGACCAACGAATCCTGGTCTGGTTATATTTAGTCAGCCGAGCCGCGAACAGGGACCGCCACTGAGAGCGAGAAGAGAGAGACGGGCAAAAACCTGGTCACGGACGCGCGACAGGGCCTGGCGCGAACGAATGAGATAGAGAGAGAAGGCCCGACGCGCCGCGCGAAGGAGCGAGCGAGAGAGCGAGTACGTGATTGGGTGAGTAACTACGTACGTGAGTAAGCGATCGAGTGAATAAGCGAATGCGTTAACCGAACGAGCAAGTGAGACAAGTCGCGACAGGCTTTGGGGGGGGGAACCAAACAACAAAGATGGAAAGACGCGGCGATCCGAAAAGTGCGACGAGGTTAGGTCGCCGTCGCGAGCACGTTTCGTCCGAGCGCGACGTAGATATAATTCGAGAGACTGGAAGAAAGAGATATAAAAGAAACGGTCCGATGGGTTATTAAGGGAATTACGGGGAATCAAGTCACGTGAGAGAAAAGGAGCGCCAATCCCGCTTCCGAGGGCGACTTCGACGCGCATGCGCGGGGATGCAATCACGGAAGGGACGCGTCCACGTTTCCGGGTATTGGGATGGCTAACCTGAATCGGGATTGGTAATTCGTATAAAAGAATCTAGTCAGTGTCGGTCTGCGCTCCGGTGACGCCGTAACCTGCGATATGGCCGGGATGGAATTGAGGTTAGGTCGGCTCGCTCGCTCGGCTGACCGTTCGCGTTTTCGTTCCGCACTCGACCGCGAAAATCGCGTTTCAGGGCGCCGGGAGTGATCTCGGCCCTGACCGTTCCGCTCTTTGTTTTCGACGCGACGACGCGATTTGACGACAGGTTCGACGCACTGCGAGCGACTAAGAGAGGTTAGGACTCGCTCGCGCACTCGGAACGCTGGCCAGGGCTGACCAGGAGAGAGAGAGAGAGAGACGGAGAGACAGCGCTCGCCGGCCGTGAGAAAAGGACGGAGATAGGGGCCGGTTTGCCGGAGAGGGAAACAAGTGAAAGAAAGCCGGGGCATCCGACGCAAAGGGCGCGATGGAAAGCGAAGGAGAGCGAGAGAGAGGAGGCGAGGCACGCAATCGGCGAGGACACTTGGGGGCGGAGAGAGTGAGAGAGACGGAAATAGGGAATTCCTCAAAGAATCCAGGTAGGGAATGACTTCACTAGCTCGCGTAATGTTCACATAAAAATCGACGTTTCTCCTTTTCAGATGAATTTCTATGCCACGCATTCTTCGACACTAGGGATGAAGACAATGGAAAACAAAGGAGAAAGAGATGGACATTGGAATTCTTCAGAGAGTTTAGGGAAAACGTGGCTTCGCGGTGCAGCGTAATGTAACAGAAATCTCCTTAAAAATCGCCATTTTCATTTTTCTTCAATTTTTCCCGTTTTCCTTTTCCTTTTTAGGTGAGCCCTGGATTTTCCTGTAAAGCGGATTAATCGCCACGAAGAGAGCCGAGACCTCGTATTACCATCGTTTTGGCATAGAAGCGCATACAACACTTTTTTTTGCCTTTATCCCGTTCAATTGCGAATTTATCGATGACCACAGTGTTCTAAATTGTTGTAAAATTGTCCTAACCCTTTCGATTCTCATATCAGAGCCTTCGATAATTGTATATCGTTCGAAATATGAGGTCTGGGCTGAGTTAATGAATTTTTTTTGAAAAATCCAATTTTTTAATCTGTCAGGACAATTCTTAGATGAATCAGGAGTGATGCGTCAAAGTTTCGGACAGTTTGGTCTAATACCCTTAAAAAAAAGTGTCGTATTCGAATTGATTGATTTGAAGTGGGTGTCACTTCACCTTAAAAATCCCCATTTCCATTTTTTAATTTTTTCCCCCGTTTTCTTTTTCCTCTTTAGGTGAGCCCTGGATTTTCCTCTAAACGGGATTAATCACCGCGAAGCACGTGGGGCATCGCCCACAGTCGGCACGTTAATACAAACTCCTCTCTTCGAGATCTCTTCGAGTGATTTCACCGAGCCAGCAAAGGCGGCCATTTAGCTGGTGATTTAGCATCGATTGGCAATTCCCCCAGAGCCGAAGGAAATCAATTACGAGAAGGTCGAGGCGGAAACTCCGAATGGACATCTAGAAGCGCATTCGATCATAGACCGAAGGTTTCTAGGGTTTCCGACCTACTTGAAGGTTTCGCGCTACCTTTAGTCGTGGCAATTGATTAGTCCTATCACCGCCGCCGTTATCGGCGTTGCTTTCGCCCCTTATCAGCCCCCCTTAACGGGCGAAGGTCCGCGATAACGCGGAACCGTGTCTCCCATTATTACCGATTACATATTCAAGACGGAGCGCGAAGCGAAAAGGAAAAAAGGAATAAATAGAATGCCTGTAACTCGGTAGAAGTGAAACTTCTTCGTTTTGGATGAAAGGGTGGTTATTCAGCCAGCAGTAATTCAAACGTTTCATTTCATTTAGACGATTCGATGAATTACCACCAATTTTCTGTCCCTTTCATCTGAAACAATGAAGTCTCACTTCTATCGAGTGCCAGGCTTTCTTCTATTTCCTATTTCATTAGTATTATTAGTATTATTTCATAGTATCTCTCTTTACGTGTGTACGCATCTTCATGTCACGTTGCGTATGTCAAAAATTGAAAAAGAAGAACCATTGAAGTTTAACGGTGGCCAAACTGGTCACGGATTTTCCTTCGAGAAAATTGAGGGGAACCCCTTTTCCAACATTTCGTGCATTTTTCCACTTAAACCGCCGTGCAACTACTTTCTATACACACTACACCGAGAAAAAGAATCCATTGAACCAAACATGACATCTCATCGACAGTGTCAAAATATATATTTCGTTAATTGAAAGGATATTTATTTGACAGAAACTGAAATAAATTGCCGTAATTCCGAAGGGACGTTGGGTCCAATTCATTCGAGTTTATTCCAGTCAAATGATTATTCTTTGAATTAAAAAAACATTTCTCTGGTTCAATGATTTTTTTTCCTTTTTTTTTTTCTTTTCTTAAAGTAGTAATACTACCCCTACTAATAAGATAAGCCGACACAGAACAAAGCACAGAGTTTCTCTGTAGGAGACTTACCTTTTGGGTTCAGTCTTTCTGGGTTAAACCATGCGTCTGTAAACAATACAACCAAATATGTTAATGCTAATAGATCCGTCACCGAAAAAGTCATTTGTACAGTATAGATCGAGGCATAGAAATGGTCTCATAGACAGGCATTAGGACTATCATGCGCAAGTACAGTGTATAGCAAGTTATATCCGACAATTGTACAAAAAAAAAAACATGTTTAAGGTGAAGTGAAATCCGTCGAGAAATTTATATTTGTATACAGCTGCGTCGAATTATACTAGGCATTGTACTAAACGACATACTCCATAAGTAGTTTTCGTGTAATGATTGTAAAGAGATCGAAGTTAAACTCAAGAAATTCCTTGGATTCACGGTTTTTGACGTCCTGATCTGTACTAGTGCCACCCTGCGCCATCTGTGATTTCAGTGCGGAATAAATTTTCTTTCCGAGACCACGTGGCGCCGCGAAATGTCAGATCGAGTAAAGGAGATTCATTCAAATCAATGTCGATAAGTCGATTAATAATTTCTTTTTTTTTTTCCTCTCAACGTAAACGTCACGAAAGTCGAAATTATTCCAAGGTGGACGTGGGGAATTAATCGGCGCGTTTCCTCGAGGGTTCCGCAAGACCTCTGCATTTAGTTAAGGAAGGACATAAAGATGAATGTCCTCCTTTTCTTCGCCGACAATTGGCAAGGTATTTGGCAAGGCGTACCGTTTCGCAATTGGGGGCATATCGAGCTGCCAAATTCACCATATTGGAGAATTATCCAAGGCAGGGAATGGCAGATTATCGGACATTTAGCTCGATGGAAATGAGAGTAACGGAGAGCGAGAAAGAGGGCCAGGGATGGATCAGTTTAAATAGAAGTGACTAATCTAGCGCGTAGACCCAACAAAAGTGCGGACAAATTGTCTAGCTTGCCATTTATGTAATCCGAAATCGAAATCCGGCTCCTCTACATTGATCCCGCAATTTAGGGGAAAAAAAAAAAATATAAAAAAAATTCACGGTGCCTATTCCTATTTTTTTCTCCTTTCTTATTATTTAACAAAACTATTTAGCAAAATTACCAGGCTCTAGAGCGGTCGGGAAATTCAGGACAAAAGTGAGGTCTAGAAAGTTGGAAAGATGCAAAAGTGGCGGTGCATTTTCCTACGTTCCCGTGGACGACCGGAATAACCAGAAAGCAAATCTAAACGAGAGATCCTAGATTGCTGTTATCAGGTCTTACTCGTGTAATTGTTAGTATTAATTTATTCGCCGTGGGTATATGTACATGATGTGCGTGCCGATGAGATGGAAAGTCGTTGGCGATTGTTAATAGCGAATATCGAGTGCACCTGCAGCGTTAATATTGTTTATACAAAAGTGGTGTCATCCGCAAGAGGTTCGCATTTTTTACTACCACCGTAAAAACCAGAAGTATCGTTTGCGAGATATCCCGAAGTAATGAGTTCTGAAATGAGAAATAGTTTTTTCCAGCGAATGTCGTTTGCGAAACAACTATTGAGGTTGGACATGTTCTACTGGGTCACTTATTGAACCTGAAAGATTAATAAAAAGTCGTTTTATGCGCTTCAATTGATAACAGGGCACGGATCGTCCCCCTGAAAGTGTGATTTTCTTTAACAATATTTTCGTCGCCCATCAATTAACCGCTTGCAAAGTAATTCCATTTAAGACGCGCTATGAGGCTAGACTTCGATTACCGGTACATTAGATACTCGTTTTATGCGCTTCAATTGTGCCCATAATTATGAAAGTGGTATAAGTCATATATTTTTTGTTTCGAAATTACATTGAATTAATTTCGTTTGAAATAATATGGCGTGAAATAACTGATAAACTCATTTTTTTTTTAATTTTGACTTAGACCACTTTCATAATTATGGGCACAATTGATAACAGGGCACGGATCGTCCCCCTGAAAGTGTAATTTCCTTTATTAAGAATATTTTCGTCGCCAATAAATTAACCGCTTGCAGAGTAATTCCATTTAAGACGAGCTACGAGGCTAGACTTCGATTACCGGTACATTAGATACTCGTTTTATGCGCTTCAATTGTGCCCATAATTATGAAAGTGGTCTGTCATACATTTTTTGTTTCGAAATTACATTGAATTAATTTCGTTTGAACATAACAGGGCACGGATCGTCCCCCTGAAAGTGTGATTTTCTTTATTAAGAATATTTTCGTCGCCAATAAATTAACCGCTTGCAAAATAATTCCATTTAAGACGCGCTATGAGGCTAGACTTCAATTACCGGTACATTAGATACTCGTTTTATGCGCTTCAATTGTGCCCATAATTATGAAAGTGGTCTGTAATATATTTTTTGTTTCGAAATTACATTGAATTAATTTCGTTTGAACATAACAGGGCACGGATCGTCCCCCTGAAAGTGTAATTTCCTTTATTAAGAATATTTTCGTCGCCAATAAATTAACCGCTTGCAAAGTAATTCCATTTAAGACGAGCTATGAGGCTAGACTTCAATTACCGATAGATTAGATACCCTTATCAATCCTAACCAAGGGGCGTGATTGATTTATCGAGGGGAGCCTCTCCGATTAGAAGACACCTTTGTTCCTCTCTGGCCAAAGATTAGGAAGAAGAAAAAGATAAGCACATCCCGCGTTACGGTAACTTTCCAACCTTCAATGGACTTTTCTCCTTAATCATCACATAAACCTTCCATCGTGAATAATTTATTTCACGCAAATATCTCCGGAAAGGCAACACCACCCTGATTTATTTTTCTCATTAAACATTGCGCGCGTAAAGAAAAATCAGTTCGAGCCGGATCGTTTTAGCGACTTGGATTAATTTCCTGGAAATTATTCCCCGGAATTAATTCAGCGACTCGAGGAGATAAACGGGCGGATTTAAATGCCGAGTTTCACGGTGCAAAGGAATCCTCGTTTGGCGTCGAGCACGTCCTGAAGAGAGTTTAATGACAAGAGACAAGAGACAAGAGCCGATGGAAAGCTTCAAGAGGAAGGAACATACACGATCCCCTCCATTAAACCCCTCTATGTGTCCAGTCACAAAGATGATGCACTCGCCGTATCAAGTGCGCAAGTACGTGTCTATGTACGCGTTCACGTACGTACATACGCGGCCATGTACACATTTACGCGTTCATGTACGCACATACGTTTTCATGTACACATTTACGCGTTCATGTACGCATTTACGCATTCACGTGCGTACATACGCGTTCATGTATGCATTTACGCGTTCATGTACACATTTACGCGTTCATGTACGCACATACGTTTTCATGTACACATTTACGCGTTCATGTACGCATTTACGCATTCACGTGCGTACATACGCGTTCATGTATGCATTTACGCGTTCACGTACGCACATACGTGTCCACGTACACATTTACGCGTTCACGTACGCACATACGTGTCTATGTACACATTTACGCGTTCATGTACGCACATACGTGTCCATGTACACATTTACGCATTCACGTGCGTACATACGCGTTCATGTATGCATTTACGCGTTCATGTACACATTTACGCGTTCACGTACGCACATACGTGTCCATGTACACATTTACGCGTTCACGTGCGTACATACGCGTTCATGTATGCACGCAGGTATCCATGCACGCCTACGCGAGGGGACGAAAGGGTTCACTCTCCCCTCCGTCTTAATTTTCCTTTTTAAATGTCGGGACACGTCGAGTTTACCGAGGGCGCCACAAAGAGGGCCCTTCAACAATCCGTTTCAAGTACGGCTGATTACTTTCCTTTGGGGGACATCCTTTCGCTCAGAAAATCCAAAAATGGCACTCCAAAGCCTTTCTTTTAAACTACGTCCAAATTCGAGGACGAGAACCAATCATTTCTTTTCCCTCTTCTTGTCAAGTCAAAAAAGACCCGATATAACGCGAAATTTGAAAATATTAAGGCGACGCGAAAATGACGATCTCGTTTGGGGAGCTTCTTTCCCGAGATCCTCTGAAACTTCAACACGTGAACATGAAGATTCTGTGAAACGTTCCGACGCCCAAAATTTCATTGCTTAATTTTTTTTCTTTTTAATTATCATCATTAAATTCGTTGTAAACGTCTTTTTTTTTTAACTCGCTCCTATTAAATTCCTTTCCGCGAAAATTCTCTCCGAAGAAAATTTAGAGACAATCCGATACGTCATTGTCCTTTTCTTTTTCTTTTTTTTTTTTTCCCGACTGTATCCAGAAATCTTTCAAGCAATACCACGCGTTCCCGTTTTTCATCGTGACTTCGAGAGTATGATGCGCGCGTAGAGAGGTGAAGTCTTTGGACTTTGTCTAAGCGACCATTTATGCGTCTCTCTGAGATCATCGATCACCGATTAAGTCGAGGTCTCTTCGATCCCCACGTCCTCTCGTTGCGTAGTGCCAAGTGTCCGTCGTCCTCTGTTCTCCGTGACACGAGCAAAGCCGTACATAAAAGTCGAGTCAAATGCACGTCAAGCCCGTCTATTCTCGATTTCGCGACAATTGGACCGATCGCCTGTAACCGACGATTAAGGCGAAGTGAAACACGTCGAGGAACTTGGTCGACGTCGACAAAGAAGACTTTTCTAAATGCCTACGTTGCTGACGTTGGTTTTTATATCGACAGCTGGGTGGAATTATATTGGGTATTGTACCGAATGGCATACTCCACCTGTCGTTTTCGTACAGTAATTATAAAGAAATCCAAGTAAAACTCCAGAAATCCTCTGGATTCGTGCTTTCTGAGGCCCTAATTGACCTGCAGAGGGACCCCCTGCGCCATCTGTGATTTCCAGGTCAATTAAATCTTCACTCCGAGACCTCGTATTACCATCGTTTTGGCATAGAAGCGCATACAACACTTTTTTTGCCTTTATCCCGTTCAAATGCGAGTTTATCAATCACCAGAGAGTTCTAAATTGTCGTAAAATTGTCCTGACCCTTTTGATGCTCATATCAGAGCCTTCGATAATAGTATATCGATCGAAATATGAGGTCAGGGCTGAGTTAATCAATTTTTTTGAAAAATCCAA